CTAGAAGTTGAAGGACAGCAGAGGTGTGTTTTAGTCAGAGGTGAGTCATTCTCTCTTTTCATGTAATCTCATGGGCTTAAGGAACCTTAAAAACATATTTTGAATCAGTGTATACATTAATGTTCTTTCCCTTGGGTAATTTAAGAGTTCATAGGAGCTCTGGTGGTGTAGTGCCTAGGGCACTTGTGACTGCTAACCAGAAGCCTGGCGGTTAAAACCCACCAGCCACTCCTCGGAAGGAAAATTGAGTAATCTACTTCCATAGCAATACTGTCTCAGAAACCCAAGGAGGGGTCACTATGGGTTGGGTCTGACTCGATGGCAGTGTATTTGGTTTTTTAAAGGAGCTCTAGTGGCGTAGTGGGTAAGGCCTTTGGCTGCTAACCAAAAGGTCAGTGGTTCAAACTCACCAGCTGCTCTGTGTGTGTGTGGCGGGGGGGGGGGAGGAAATCTACTTCTGTAAAGATTTACAATCTTGGAAACCCAATGGGGGTCGCTATGAGTCAGAATCAACTTGATGGCAGTGGTTGGGTTTGATCATGGCTAACAACTCTGCCTTCTGGGTAGAAGTATAGTCTGATACATGGCCAGCTTCAGTTGTTTCCCAGGCTGTGACAACTTCGATTCCCATTCTCAATGATATCACTGCCATCTGTGTAGTATTCAGCATCTAGATTCTCAAGGAGAATGCCTGTTAAGTCTGGCCACTAGAATACACCTCCTCTGTTATGCAGATGTATAGGAGCTCTGGTGATGTAGTGCCTAAGTCATTTGACTGCTAACCAGAAGGTTGGTGGTTCAAACCCACCAGCCACTTCTCGGAAGAAAGATTAGGCAATCTACTTCCATAGTGATACTGCCTCAGAAACACAAGGAGGGGTCGCTATGAGTCAGATCCGACTCAATGGCAGTGAGTTGGGGTTTTGTGTGTGTGTGTGTTACACAGATGCAGTTATGAGAAATAGTTTTATTGGTAGCTGGGGGAGCAGAATAGCTGGGTTTAAGCTGGTGGTCACCTTTCAGGTCATCTCTGGATTATCTAGATTATCTAGTAGGCTGGCTTGGTATTGGGTCAGATATCCTGGAGTCAATGGGTCCCTTTCTGTTCCATGATCATAAGAACTGCATGTGGGACAAAAATAGTTATTAGCTGTCCAAAACTTAGTTTTCAGCTTCCTTTAATATAAGACTGGTAGCTGCCATGGCTTAAAGGCAACTGGCCTCTTCCAACTTCGCAGACACTGGATTAAGACTACCATTACTGTCCCCTGATTTTCATGGAGATACAGTTCAAAGGATTTGTCTAAATCTGGGAGGCCCAGAGTAGGGCCCTCCATTAGTTTTAGTTTTAGGGTATCAAAAGCCCATTCTTGGTTCTCAGTGCACCAGAAGGGGTTAGAATCCTTTACCTTCAATTAATCCAAAATTAGATTCAGCAAAATCTCAACATTCCCAGGAAACGTTAAAGCTGGTGACGAGAGTGAGGGACTGCCAGCCTGCAGAGAGCCTCTTTTCACTCTGGCATTAGTTCTTATCATCCCTGGGAAATTGAAAATCCTAGCTACTTTTCCTTGCACTGAGGTATCTGGGCCTTGGTCTTAGACCTCGTATCCAGCTGACGCCACCAGGTTGAGGGTTGTGATGATGTCAGAGAATCCTTCTTGGTCTTCCTGGCTATTAGCAAACCATGAACATATACAAAAGGAACCTGTTTTAGAGCATCGGGTCTCTCAGATCTTTTGTCAGGGCTGTTCAGAACAGGGAAGGGGGTACACTGTTTTTAAAGCTCTGTTTTTAAAACTGCAGCACAGTTTTTCTTTCATACCTTTTTCAGGGTCCTCCCATTTGAACTCAAACATTTCTTGGCTCCTTTCCTCCACTGGAATACAGAAGAAAGCATCCTTTAAATCTAGAGTTGAAAACCATGCAAATTGTCTTGGTAAAGCTGACATCATAGTGCATGGGTTATACTATATGGGGATTGATAGCTCAGAGGTTTTGGACCAATCAGTACTCACCCAAGTTTGGCTTCTCCATGGGTATAATTGAGGTGTTGAAAGGAGATTGGCATGGCCTCAACAGTCCATACTTAAGAAACAGAGCCAGGATTGGTTTCAGTCCAGTTCGAGCCTCCATGTGAAGTGGATATTGTCGCATGTGCGAAGGTGCAATTCCTGGCATCAGTCAGTACTCACAGGTGCTACGTTCCTTGCTCTATTGGTTTCTCGATAGCCCAGACCCAGGAGGCCACTGCAAGGTCAGTTTCAGGTAGGCGATCTCTTACAGTCTGGGGGGCCAGCAGAAAGGCTTGCATTTTCCGGCCCTGCTTAGGAGGCACAGTAAGAGTTACTCATCCTTTCCAAAAGCTAATCTGAGCTTGTAGCTTACACAACAGGTCCCTTCCTAGAAGAGGGACCAGACAGTCAGGCATGTAAAGAAAGTCATGTGTTAAGGTCTTGCTGCCAACAGAGCAGCTCATTGGCTGTATGAAGTTCTGGTAACTGCTTTTCCTGTTACTCCCATTATGGATACCTTTTTCTTTGAGAAAGGCCCCTTTAAATTATTTAAAACTAATTGAGCAGCTTCTGTTTCTATCAAAAAATCTATCATTTTTCCCCAACTTTGATTTTACCAGAGGTCCGTTGGGGCTGACCACAAGTTTTGTCCCGTCCCCATCCCCCACTCTCCTGGATCTCAGGTGGAGTTCAGGAAAACAGTACGGGAGGCTCTTTCTTTTCCTTGTACTCTAACTTGCCGCAGTTCTCTGTCAGCCCTTGTCTGTTAGGGCATTCTCTCTTCTAGCGTCCACCCTGCTTACACCAAGCATGCTGAGTTTTCTGAGCCAAGGGCGGTCCCGCTTGGATGGCCCCTTTCTTACCTTGACTGAGAGCTAACAGCAATGCTAGCGCTTTCGTTTTCCGCACTTCTTTTCTTCTGGGTGCCTGTTCTCAGTTCATATGAACCTTGAAGGCAGTATCCATTAGTTGTGAAACTCCCATTCCCACTCCACCTTCCACCTTGTGGAGTTTCTAATAACAGGAGCGCTCTGGCCAATAAAAATCACATGACTCATTTGTGCATTGTCAGGGCTTTCAGGGTCTCAGCCAGTGTATTGCCTAAAAGCGGTAAAAAACCTTTTTCAAAAACCTGAGGGACCTTCCTCTAGCTTTCATTCCACATCATAAATTTGATTTTAAGTTTCTCTGCCTGGGGACACCCTCTCAAACCAACCCATAAGCAAGTTCGATAATGAGCCAAGAACCCATATCCCTCGGGGATGTTTGGATCCCATGCTGAATCCATTAGGACTTTACCCTCCACTAAGGTAGCCTCAAGCTCCCTCCTCCCAGGGCACTTAACCACTAAGCCATTTTCAAATTCTTCACTGACAGCATCACCATTGAGTCCACGGTCAGTCCCTTCCACTCAGCTCAAACAGTCCACCTCTGGAAGAAACGGTTCCAGTGCACGCCAGGGGCATCTGTTGACCCCGGCAGCCCAGGGCAGACCGTGGATCCAGGTCCACTCAGGGCACCAAGTTTGCTACCTGCAAATTGCTAGAGCAATTTCCTAGAGCAACTTAAGCCAACAAAGACACACCAAGGGGAAGAGGAAGAGGTACAGCTTTTATTAAGTTTGTGCACAAACTGAAACGGGGAGGAAGCATTCTAAGCTGCTTTTATAGGGTGGGGATTACATCCTAATCATGTTATACGTACAGTTTCATAGGATTACAGGTTAAGCATGTGCAATGAAGGATACAAAGATGGGGACCCTTAGCATGTCTCATTATAATGTTAAGTCTCTACCCAGTGGTGTGCGACTTACTGTGCTAATATTCTCTTTCACTCAGCTTCAGGCTGTTGCTGGGTCAGCAACTAGTAATCATTGGTGGATGACCTTCCTCCATGGCTGCAAACCTCCAGGCCATCCGGTTTTTGTTACATTTCTACTCCCCTTACCTCACTGGGAGCTCTGGTAGCACAGTGACTAAGGCACCCAACTACTAACGAGAAGGTTGGTGGTTCAAACTCACCAGCCACTCTGTGGAAGCAAGACTGGGCAATCTACTTCAGTAAAGATTTACCACCTCAGAAACCCAATAGTCAGAATCGACTTGGTGGCAGTGGGTTTGGGTTTTTGGTATCTCACTGGGAGAAACCCTGAGAAACTTTTTAAGGAACACTATTCTTTTGGTGAATGCTATGCACCATAATGAGCTTATAGGACAGAGTACAACTGTCCCATAGGGTTTCCATGGCTGAAATCTTTATGGAAGCAGACTGCCTTATCTTTCTCCCTCAGAGTAACTGGTAGGTTCAAACCATCCATCTTTTGGTTAGCACTTAACTACTGTGCTACCAGGGCTGCTTTTGCTTCCTTCACTTGGCAGTATATCATGAATACCTAAAAATAAAATAAAAACTCTCCTAGACCCTCTTTCAGGTCCCTAGGTGCAGTGCAAAGGGCTTATGCTATGCTGCTAGCCTAAAGGTTACTGTTTCAAACCCACACGGTAATACCACAGGAGATAGGCTTCTGTCAAGACTACAGCCAAGAAAACCCCATGGAGCAGTTCTACTCTGTGACACATAGGGTCACCGTGAGTCAGAATTGACACAGTGGCGCCTAACAACACAATAGGGCGTACTGTCATTTTTAATGACTGCCTGTCATTTCTAACAGTTGCATAGTGTTTCATTGTATGAGTATGCCATGACTTATTTAACCGGTAGTTGGATGTGTAGGTTGAGCTTGGATTTTGCACTGCTCACACATTAATGCTATAGTAACCATCCTTTGGGCATCTCCATGACTACATCTTTACAAGAGGGACTACAGTGGAAAGTGGTAGAGCCTGAGATTGAATCTCCATCTGTCTGGTCCCAAAGCCATGCTCGTAATGGCTTTTAAAGCTTCTGTTTTCTACCCCGTTTCCTTCAGGCTGATGCTACTATAGCAGGACGCCTGACCCTGTGTTCTGTCATGCTTCTCCCTAGTTCTTCCAGAAGGCAGCCCTGAACGTACGAGACAACGTCGGGGAAGAAGTGGACGCAGAGCAGCTAATCCAGGAGGCCTGTCGCAGCTGCTTGGAGCAGGTGAGACCACGGAGAAGAGATGTAGGCACAAGGTTTAGCCCTCAAGGCTGTGCTAAGAAATAGGTTCCCTTCATTAGTGACATCATTGGGAATGTTCAGCAAACCACTTACACCTAGACAGGGCTTGGAGTTGTTGCTGACAGAAGGGAAGGGAAAAGGAAGATGTACGGAAGGCATCTGTTAGTCCCTATTTTACAGATGAAGAAATTGTGGCTTAGAAAAAGCAAGCGTTGGAATAGCCAAAGTCTGTCTCACTTCTGCAAGTGCTTGGTCAGTACCTTCAGGTAGTCATGGCTCCTTTCGTATAGTAGGGACTATCAGTCTCTCTGCCTTCCTGCATCTTAGGGTATGGTCAGGAGGCATGACATCAGGGCTATTAATGACCATGTTCCTAAGATAGTAGAGAACCTGTTTACATGTATCATCTGCTGTTATTAATAGCAATTCCCAGATTACCCAGATTCTGAGCTTGATTGTGAAGCCCTTAGCTATCAAAGATGCGAATTTCTTCATTATCAAAGCCACAAAGACTAGTTTGAGTTCAGTCCTTTGAGAGTAGTGAGATGAGAGAGGATTGTCTTCTGGGAGATTGGCTGGCTCTCTACTCAGGCACAGCCTTAGAAAGGAGCAAGGACAGGGCCAGGGCCTCGGCCTTGAAAGGGCAGAGCTCTGTCTCATCAGTGTAGTAAAAGCCAATCTGGTTCTCGTAGATTATTAAATTCACCCATTCACTCAGGACTACAGAGTATGTTATGATCATTGTAACGTGCTGATAATAAGTATGTTGTTGTTGTTGTTATTTGCCATAGAGTCGGCCCCGACTCCTAGCGACCCCTCCTTGGGTTTCCGAGGCAGTTAGCACTACGGAAGTAGGACTGCGCAACCTTCCTTCCGAGGAGTGGCTGGTGGGTTTGAACCGCCAGCCTCCTGGTTAGCAGTCAAGTGCCTTAGGCACTATGCTACCAGAGCTCCCATAATAAGTATAGAGTTTGCTAATAATATTGTTTATTATTTACAAATAGTTATGATTAATATTATTTATAAGTTTGAGCTGAGTCAAGATTAAATGTATAAAAACCATCATTCTCATTTATATCCCAAATTGCTTTCTTAAATTTACTTACTTCTTCAACCAGTATTCATTGAGTGCCAGGTACTATCCAGGCCCCAACAGTGGTGTACAAAATGGTTCAAAGCCACCAGCCACTCCTCGGAAGGAAGGTTGGGCAATCTACTTCCTTAGAGATACCACCTTGGAAACCCAAGAGAGGGGTTGCTATGAGTCGAGTCCGACTGGACAGCAGTGAGTTTAATGTTTTAGAAATATATCACCAGGCCCTTCTTAGGGGCACCTCTGAGTGGACTCAAATCGCCAACATTTCAATAACTAGTTAAGCATGTTAACCATTTACACCCAAGGACTTGCATATGTTTTTATGCACATCTGTTCATTCAATGGGGCACTGGGAATACAACAGTCAGCAAGAACAGACCACCCTTGAACCCTCAGTCCCCACCAGCTGTCACACTATTTTTCCTTTCCCTTTTACCATCAGATTTCAGGGAAGGTTTCCTGCAATCACTGGCTCCACTTTCTCGCCTCCCATTCTCTCTTCTACTCACTGTGTTTTAGCTCCAGCCCCCATCACTTCACTGGATCACATCTTATCAGGATCACCTGGACCCTCTGTGTTGTCAAATGCTACGGGCCTTCAATGTCCTTGATTTACTCAGCGTCTTATGGTATTTGTTGCCAGGGCTCTCTTCATCTTTCTTGGAACACTTTCCTGTCTCAGCTCCAGTGCCCTCATGCCCTCATGGCCTCCCCTGAGCTTCCTTAATGACTTCATCTTCTTCACCTGACCTAATGGTTGGCGCACTCCCGAGTTCCGGGCTCAGACCCCTTCTCTTCTGTGGCCCACTCTCTTTCTAGGTGATTTCACCTGGTCCTGTGGCTTTGAAGCCCATTGAACTGCTGGTGGTTCTCCATGTCTCAGCCCTGCGCTGCTTCCACTCTTGCCCACCTCAATCCACTCTACTCACAGCAGCCACACTGATCTCTTTAAAGATGGATCAGGCTGTGTCACCACTTCCTCAAACCCTTCGGTGACTTCCCATGGCCAAAACACAATCCAGATGCCTTCCTGCCAACCGCAGGGCCTACCTGGGCCAGCTTCCGCCTGTTTCTCTAACGTCATCCTATCCCACTTCCCTGTTAGTCATTATGTTCCTGCCATGGTAGACTCCCTTCTGTTCCTCTAACCCATCAGGTCCAGGGCCTTTGCACGTGCTTTTCTCAGTGCCTGAGTCCTCTTCCCCAAACTTTGTACAGCAGTGGCTGCTTCCTTCCTTCAGATGTTACCTTAAATATCACCCCCTTGGAGAAGCCTTCCCTGACTACTCATCCATCCCACTTCGCTCCCTTTACTCTCTCCACTTACTCTCTATCACTTCACTTGTCTGTTTCCTTCATTTCATTTATTTCAATCTAAAATTCTTATTTGTGTTTGTTTCTTTTCTGTCTCCTTCCCACTCCCGCCTCTGCTAAAATCTGAGCTTTGTAAGAGCTAAGGCCTGAGGTCTCATCACTGCTATGAATATGGCCCTTAATATGTGTACACTGAGTGTGCACTGAAAGACTGAGTGGGGGTAGGAATGAATGAACAAATGACAGATGTACAGACATGATCCTGGCCCTCATAGAACTTATGCTCTAGTCAGGTGGACAGACCTGAATTACATTACCACACAAATGTGTGCATGACATTCTTTACTAGAAAGAGACAGGCTTTGGAGGTGAAGATTATGAGTTCAGTTTGGGCCTTAGCAAATTTGACACATGGAGTAGACTGGTGTGTGGGTCTCAAGCCTGAAGAAGAGGAAGCAGCTGAAGACAGAAAATTGCATAGATGAGAGCAGACAGACTGTCTAATGAGAGAGGACAGAATGACAGGACCCAGATGGAGAAAGAGAAGGCAGCAAAGAAGACTAAGTATGAGTGGCCGGAGAAGTAGGAGGGAAACTGGAAGTAGGAAGGATGGCCCCAGGAGCTGGTGGAGAAATGCTTCAAGAAGGGTTTGCTCAGCACTGTCCAGTGCTGCCCCATGACCCCAGCTCTCCACACGGCCTCCAAGACACCCCGCCGCCACCACACTCCTCGCATACCACACTCCCCTTTGCCCACTACTTCTCGGGCACACTTTTCTCCCTCAAACCAGTCTGTTCCCACCTGAGAGCTTTTGCTCTCTTCCTGTTGCTGAAACACACTTCTCAGCTCCATTGCTGGCCCTCTTCTTCCACAGCTCAGGTCAGAGGCCACCTTCTCAGCAAGGCCTTCCCTGACCACCCTGAAGTAGCCCTCCCCTCAGCTGATTCTGCGTCATAGCTACCTGGGGTGGTTTGTTTCTTCCTTCAGAGCATTTAGTGTGTTCCGAATTTACCTTGTTTCTATGTGTGCGTGTTTGCTAATTACCCAGATCACCCACAGTGTGAGTCCCACCAGAGCACAGCCTTACTCAGCCTATTTCCTGCTGTGGGGCCAGCACTTAGGTACTAGGTACTCAGTCATTTTTTAAATGAAGGAAAGGCTTTTTACTGAGGAACAGGTTTATCTCAATGCATTTACTTAAAAAATATATGGTCTCTATGTACCTGACGAACATCAGGAAGAATTTACATCAGAATGTTAGCAGCAGTTTTCTGTGAGGAATGAAATTTCAGGTTGTTTTTTTTTTGGTTTTTGGTTTTTTTGTCTTATTGACATTCTCTGATTTTTCAACAATGATCATTACATATTTGCATTTTTTTAAAAAATTGATACTGCTATTCATATCTCAGGGTGCCTTTATACTGACCATGAAAATGTTTTCACCCACTTTGGAGTTATATCCATAAAAATTGAGATGGGGCTGCTTTCCCATCAAAACGGCGACTCTTAGCACTTGATCTTTCCCCTTCAGGCTAAGCTGCTGTTTTCAGATGGAGAAAAAGTCATACCCAGACTGACCCATGAGCTCCCAGGGATAAAGGTCAGAGCCACTGCCTCCTGGGGCACAGAGGGGGAGGCTGATGAGGCGGGCAGCCTCAGGCAGTTTTGAACCACCCATCTGGAAGACGTGGTCCAAACTGTATCGTGCTGGGAAGGCATCTGGGGCTGGAGTCCAGGAGCTCTCTGCTGCAACACTAGCCTCCCATTGACTTCCCTCCCTCTTCTTCCAGCGTGTGCGGCAGGCAGAAGAGGAATGTGCCCATCGAGGAAGCCCCATCCCCAAGAAGGTAAAGCATGTCCCCATTTTTGGGCTGGGAAAGGGCCCTTCAGCACCTTGGGGCCTTTCTAGGCATGAGAGGCAGAGACCTTAGAAACAGTCACTCCCTTCTTTATGCTGACACATCCTTTGTTCTCTCTGGAAAACCATTTCCACCAGGTGACCCTGGACCTGCCAGTGGGGTGGGGGGGGACTCTCCACAGGGTCAGGCCTTTGACAGCTGTTCTTCATGGCAGAGGAAGGGACGGCCTCCAGGACACATCCTGTCAAATGACCGGGCAGCCGCCGGCATCGTGTGAGTAGGGCTGACAGTGTGGTGAGGGCAGAAGTGGGGAGAGGAAGGGGCAAGCCTGGAGGAAAGGAGGCCAGAGTTCTGTTCCTAGCAAAGTCAGATCCCTCTGTTTAAGTCACCTGAGGGAAGGGAAACCATGGTTTGGGGGATGGGGCGAGAAGGCAGGAAGAGGGAGGCAGTTTTATCTTGGTTTTGCCCTTGAACAGTTCAGCCCAGCTTGACTAAATACAGAGTTTTTAATTGTTCTTAGTACATATGGGGTGCTTATGATGTGTCAGTAACTGGTCTAAGTACCCTGCGTTCCTTATCATTTAATCCTACAGCCCCCTCTGAAGAAGGTATAATTAATTTTGCCAACAAGGAGACTAAGGCTCAGAGAGATGACTTGCCCAAGGTCACCTGGCTAATGAGGGGTAAACTATACTATGCTGGCTCCACCATGGTGGTTTTCAAACATTTTTGAAACAGTGGAATCTTTTCTTTAAACAAAACCTTCATGGAAGCCCAATATATATAAAGAGACAAAGCCATAGCTGGGCTGGTTGAAGGAGGATGGGGGACAGTTTAAAGCCACTGGAATGGCAAATGGAATAGTGTTAATGGGCACGCCTTAGATCTGTCTCCTCCCTGAAGCAAGTAAGCGCACATGAGAGACTCTTACCACCACCAGCAAACTTTCTCCCAGGCCTGGGCCTCATCTTGGAGAAGTCACCTTCCTTCTTTCCTTCCAACCAGATGGAAACCAAAATCCTGTGAACCAATTCGCCGGGAAGGCCCCAAGGTATGGTGAGCTGAGTGTGGCAGTGATCACTGCCCCAGGGAGACTCAGCCAAGGCTCTGGGCCTCACTGTGAGGGAAGGGGCTGGGGTGGTGACAGGTGTATGCACTTCATTCCAGAGGGGTCTTTCTCCAGCCACACTGGCCTCCAAACAGGATCCCAAGTACAGATCAGAGTTAGCAGCAAACAAGAGAAGGCTTGAGTCTTTGCTGGAGAAGCCTTCTCCCTATAAAGCTAATGGTCACTATTGTTTATTTAGTATTTAATAGGTGGCAGGCACTGTTCTAAGTGGTTTGTATGGATTGTCTCATTTAATTTTTACAACAATCTTAATGAGATAGATTCTGCTACCATTCTATAGATGAGGAGCTACCTTTCCTGATAGTTCCCCTGTGGACAGGAAATCATTTTATCTAATTATTTTATATGATTAATACACTTGAGGGTCCTAAGGCTTAGAGACTTGTCCAGTCACATAGCTAGTATGCAGCAGAGCCAGGTCTCAAACCCAAGGTCTGTTGAGCCTGTACTCTTAACCATTAGCTTCTGGGTGTCTCCAGAACAGTTGTTTGCGAGCTTTTGTAGCAGTAGAATCCTTTCTTCAACTACAGTCTTTCTGGTAAGGCCACTAAGGTTGATAAGAACAGCACTCTCCTGGCTAAGGCTTGTGCAGTAGACATTGTCTACCGCTTGTCTTACCAGCCCTCTGGGCCCCACACTGGTGGTCACTCATTTCTTCTAAAACTCTTACTTCCTTACAGCTAGTAGTCCTGCATTCTGGATCTTTCTGTTCCCCTCCAAAGATGCCTTCTCTCCCTCTCTCTCTCTCTGTCTCTCTATCTCTCTGTCTCTCTCTCTCTCTCTCCCTCCCTCTTTCTCTCTCTCTGTCTCTCTTTCTCTCTTTCTCTCTCTCTCTCTCTCTCTCTCCCTCTTTCTCTCTCTCTCATATGCAAACGATGACCCGTACATGTGAGTGTTCCCCAGAATTCTTTCCTTGACCCACTTTTCCATCTGCAGTTTCTCTCTGGATGCCTGAATCATCCACACTGAAGGTTTCAGGGGCCACCATGTGCTAAGACTCGCACACTCTGTCCGTCCAGCCCTCTCTTTCTCTTGTGTATCCTGCTGCCTGTGGACCTCTGCCTCGAAGTCCCAGAGGCGTTCCAGTCTCAGCACATCTGAGAGTGAACTCAGAATCCTTCCTCATAGACCTTCTTTTACATCCTTTACTTCAGTCATCTTTGCTTCTTCCTTTCCTTCTCCTCCCTGCATCCACTCAGGTCCTGGATGATTCTACCTCCTAAATATATCAGTTCCTGTCCCTTCTCTTCATCCTGCTGCTGTCCTAGTTCAAGCCCTCATCTTCCTTCAAAGCCTTTATTACAACAGCCTCTCAACTGGTCTCCCTACCTTGCTGCCTCAAATCCATTGTCCACGTTGCTGGGAGAGTGAGCTGCCTTTTGCAAATCTGTCTGTTTAGGGGCCTCCAACGATTCTCCATTGCCTAGAATAAATAAAAGGTGAACCCCTAAACATACTGGGTCCCTAGACTCCCTGCTTCTCTCTCCAGCCACATCAGTTGCCATGCCCGAACTTGGATTCTGTCTCCTTCAGCAAAACGGAACTGCTGTGGTTTTTCCAGCACGTCGAGCCTACCTCACCTGCCTTCGTGCTGCCCTTTACCTGGAAAGCCCTTCGTCCTTCCCTCCACCCTGCCTAACTCGTGCTCATCCTTTCAGAATGAACTTGGGAATGATCTTTTCAAGGAAGCATCCCTGACTATATCCTCCCCTTTGGCACCTCTCGTAAATCGCCCTGCACTCATCTGTATCAAAGCCCCATCGTTATCTGAGACCTCCAGGAGAACAGAGTGTACCCTAGTTCATCTCTTTAACCCCAGTATCAACACAAGGCCTAATCCATTACAAAGACTCGTCTCTCTTTTCTCGTTGTTGTTGTGGAGAATCTACGGAGCACAGCATAGGCCGATCCAGCAGCTTCTCACGTCCAGCTCACTGACCTGACGGCATTCTTCCAGTTCTGCAACCACCCTCCCCTTTCTTTTCTGAGTTTTTCCTCCCCCTGAATATAAACTCCCTGCCCCCTAAGGTTCCTGTCTAGTCTTCCAAGTGCTCAGTCTCTTAAACGAACTGTATGTTGTCTGCTGTGAGCATAATGCCAGTTAGTACTGTCTGCAAAGTGACAACAGCAACCGGAGATTAAATAGGGTGACGGTGGTGCCCAACTTGAAGAATGTCATCAGTACCACTGACTTGTAGAAACGGTTGGACTGGTGTATGTTTTGCTGTATGTATTGTCAACAACAACAGAATAAAAAGTAAACATCGAACAAAGGATAAGGGTGGTGGTGGGAGAGGGCAGGGAAGGAGTGTTTCAGTCCTGCCCACCGAATCAAACCTCACCCTCACCAGCTTCTCTGGTTTTTTTGCATAGTGGGACCCAGCTCGGCTGAATGAGTCCACCACCTTTGTGTTGGGATCTCGAGCCAACAAGTAAGTCTGAGAGGTTTGGCACCGAGGGAGGGGAAAGCTCAGGGGGCCCACCTCGAGAGCCATGCCCACTGCTGTCCTCACCCTCACCTGTTTACTTTTCAGGGCCCTGGGCATGGGGGGCACCAGAGGGAGGATCTACATCAAGCACCCACACCTCTTTAAGGTAGGTGAGCGGTGGAGTGAGCCAGGCCCTTGCACTGGGAGTAGATGGCCCAGAGAAACTTGGGACAGACACGGATCTGGGACTCGGCTCTGGGCCGGAGCTGCTCCCCTGCTGTTGCCATTTGCCTTTTGTGATTTGCTCAGCACCTCTGGGCCACAATAACCGCAGCTACTTCCTTGCATGTCAATTTTGTGTGCCCAACACGGTTTTCAGCTACACTTAATGTTATGTCCTGGAACTGTCTTTAAGGTTGGTATTATTATTATTATTTTCACAAATGAAAAACATGGAGGTGGAGAAAGGCAAAGTGACTTGCCCAGCATTACTTAGCTAATAACTGATGAGTCAGGGTCAAGGTGTCCTCTTTACAGAAGCACCGCCACCTCTTTCTCCTGGGGAGGGAGTGGCTGGTGGGTTCGAACCACTGACCGTTTGATTAGTGGCCAAGCACTTAACCACTGTACCACCAGGGCTCTAAAATAAGGAGATTGGATGGATGAAAGCACTGGTTCTAACACTTTTCAAGTAGTAGGAGACTTTGCTTCTGAGAGCAGCTGCACTTTAGCCTCTACTGAGATGGGCAGGTCCTGAATTCACCCTCCTCTTCCATGAATTTGTATTGTATCTAAATATATTGGGGAAAATAGTGCAAGTGTGTTAAAGACATGTGTTGTGCACGATACATAATGTTTGGTGCCCCTGCCACAACTCTGGAGCCCCTGTGGTATCTCAGGATCAGCCTCTGTCTCCCACTTCTGTCCATTGCAGACCTGCTTCCTCTACCTTCCAGCCTTATATCCTAGGATCCCCAACACCTAGACAATTTGGCCTGCTTGCTACTTCTTCCTCTTCCTTTCTTCTTATCTCCATGCCTCCTGTTCCCCTCACCTGGGTGACCTTCCTCCCCAGCCCTGTCTGTGCCTGTCTGTCCTGTAAGATCCACCTCCAAGCCTGCTTACAGTCCCCCAAGTACACCTGCTCTTGGGCCTTCCCCAAACTCCTGGGGCTGATGGTTAGGCACGTGGTGTCAGTGCTGCCTCTGCTGTGTGACCCTGGCAGAGGGCTCCACATTGTGAGCCTGTTTCATCAGATCTGTAAAGTGGGAACATGATAGACTGATGTCTTAGGGTTCAAAGAATTAAAAAGTACAGTAAAGCAGCCAGCATAATTCTAAGACCTACCCTTTGTAATAAACTCCCAGCCTACCCCTCATCATCAGAGGATATTACCTCTCACTTTAATCTTTCTACGATTCCCTACGAGTGATAACAAGCGTCTTCCCATTCATTAAAGCCCATCTGTGTTCCTTCTGGAAACTGCCTATTACATCGTCTGCCCATTCTTCTGTCCTTCAGGGGCCATGATTCTAATTTTCCTTTTCCTTTTGTAAACTTTTTTTGCTTAGAGATATAATTGTAAACCCATTCTTATTATGAAAAGAAAAGATCCAAAAATACACTGAAGCTTATAGAGAGAAGACATGAAGTCACCACTCCCCTGTGACTCTTCTCCCCTCCTCTTCTTCTTCACCAGCAGTGGTGGGCAGCCTTCAGTCTGCTGCGTGCATGTGTGTCCGTCCTTAATGCTGACATTGAGGTCATGCTCTCTCATTCTCTGATTTTATTTTTTTTTTTTTACCCAAAAACTCAGTTGTTCATTCAACAAGCAGATGTGTACTGAGTGCTCCTGCTGGGCCAGGTGCTCGCAAAGCGCCAGAGATCCGGCCGTGAGCCAGGCAGGCAGAGCTTGCCCTCCTGGGCTTACAGTCCAGGGCAAGGCCAACAGCAACATGTGTGCCCAGTGCAGCCTGTAGCCTGTTTCTGTCCAAATCAAGGTTTTCACGTTTTTAAAGGATGGTTTAAAAAAAACAGAAAACATGACACACAGAAATATACATGCCTGGCAAAAGCTAAAGTGTTTACTCCCTGGTCCTTGACAGAAAAAGTTTGCTGAGCACCGTAACTCTAGGAGCTCTGGTGGCGTAGTGCCTAAGACATTTGACTGCTAACTCTAGTGGGTAATATCTTAGCGACGTTTTGATATTATTAAATTAAATCTCCCTCATTTTAGCTTTAATCGCTATGTAGAATTCACAGGATCTATATTCCATAATTTCTTGATTTGTTCCCTATTGATGAATACGTTGTTTCCCGGTATTTTGCTATTCTAAATGAGGCTGCCCCAGACCTTCTGGCACCAGCATCCTGTCTGCCTGTGTAAGTGATGCTGAAGGGTGACCTCCTGGAGGCGGAAGCGCTGGCCGAGAGAGGGCACGTGTTTAAAACTCTGATGAATACTAAACGTTACTTGGGAAGTGACATATTTATTTAAACCCAGAGTGGTGACCATACAGCCCAGATTTTCCAGCTTTGTCTCAAATATTCTTCCTATTTTACTAAACCTGCCTTTATTGGGCACTGAGCTCTGGTGGTGTAGTGGGTAAGACATTTGGCCACTAACCAGAAGGTCAGCAATTCAAACCCACCAGCTGCTTTGCAGGAGCAAGGTAAGGCAATCTACTGCCGTAAAAATTTACAGCCTTGGAAACCCAATGGGGGTCACTATGAGTCAGAATCAATTCGATGGCAGTGGGTTTATGTGCCATATACTGTGGTTAGCACTTTTTATACACTGTCTCATTTATTCTTAACAACCACCATACTTTCCATTTTACATATGAGAAAAGTAAGACTGAAGGCCCAGGTGTTCAACACCTAGTAAGTGGAAGAAGCGGTATGTAAACCATGCTTCTCTAACTCCACAACCAGGTTTGTACCCGTGGTTCTGTTCTCTCTCCCCTAGTGCATGAGGTATCTTGATTTTTTATTAGAAATACAGTCACCATAATAACCAGAGGTGTTGTAAGCCACCTCAGATCGTTTTTAAAAGAGCCTCTAAGTCAGTCATCGATCCCACCAGTCCCACCAGTCACAAAGGGCAGGAGAATTAGAAGTATCCTAAATCTCTGGGAATTGTCCCTTACCCTAGCCTCCCAGGACTTAGCTCAGCTTGCTCTCAGGAGACTGTGAGCCCTCTACACCCTCCAGACGAGGGCAACATCTTGTTGGTGAGAACTCCTCAAGCGCCAAGAGTGTGCTCTGGGGCCAGTGGGGCAAAGGCTCCTTCACAGCAGACTCAAGTCTCCCCTGTGCCTCCATCCCTCACAGTATGCGGCTGACCCCCAGGACAAGCACTGGCTGGCGGAGCAGCATCACATGCGGGCAACAGGCGGGAAGATGGTAAGCATTGTTCCCACGTGCCACTGCCGCAGACCCACCCCGGGGCCTGGCTCTCCACGGCAGTCTGGGGAGATGTTGGTGAATGTGAGAAAGGAGACTCGTAAGGGTAGAGACGGCCCAGTCCTTCGTGCTGAAGAGCAGACTGTGGGCCCAGGATGCCCTTCCCTGTCCCTAGGTCTCCCACACAATGCCTGGTCACTTCCTCTCCTCCCCTTAAGACTACATATCTGCATCATATTAGCTGTGCATAGGAATGCTGGGTACAAGACACACTTTTCCATCATGGGCCCATTGACAAGATTTCCCAACACTTCCCCAGACACAGCTGTGGCATCTTTGTTCCACACAGCACCCCAGGCAACACCCACCTGTCCGTGGAGTTAGCCTTGACCTACAGCTTGTTCACCATGCCTGGCAGTCCCTTCCAGAAGCACCTTTCCTTCGAGAGTTCCTGTCAGGGACAGGCCTTCGGAAAATCACTGCTGAATGTGCTCCAGAACTGTCCTGGAGGGATGTGTCCATCACACGCTCCCAAAAGAGCCCCGTCCCAGAGCCGGCCTGGGCGTTGTGCCACAGTTCTCCCTCCCCCAGGACAGTAAGCCAAGTACTGGACAGCAGTGCAGTTAGCATGTTTTGCCCTCTGCCACAAAGCTCAAGACCGAAGTGTCTTAGTTCCCAGAGGTAGCACAGAGCTTAGGACTCTGTGATTTGTATGTAGTGACTCCCTTGCAAAATGGTGTGCCATCTCCTTTCTGTAATGAAGGCTTTCTTTTATTTTACTGCTCTTATACACCCCTGGGAGCTCTGGTGGCGTAGTGCCTAAGGCATTTGACTGCTAACCAGAAGGCTGGCGGTTCAAACCCACCAGCCACTCCTCGGAAGGAAGATGGGGAAATCTACTTCTGTAGAGATACTGCCTCAGAAACCCAAGGAGGGGTCGCTATGAGTCGGATCTGACTCAGTGGCATTGAGTTTGATTTGGTTTTATATGCCCCTACTTTATTCCAAAACTAAAGATTTCTGGGAGTTCACCAGGGATACATAAAATACAGCACAACATGAAAAAGAAATAGATGGGAAAAAAGGAAAGACAGGAACTCAAATTAAAACAAGAGCAAGATTGGGTTAAAAAAAATTTCCACCCTAATTTTTTCATTGCTGTTCTCAGAGACCAGTGCCACTTACATGGGTGTCCACAGAGTCAGCTCTCAAGGACACCTGATCTGTTGCATAGTTCTCAAGGCCTTAAGATAAAAACAATCAAAATATTCAGGGGATGCACAATTACTCCGGACCCTAAGCCTAGAAAGAAATGTCTCCCACAGAAGACTTAATGTGATGGAAACATCCTCTATGTGGGAGGTTCCCAAGGGGGCTCCCGCCAGGGCCAGCCTTGACCTTGTGCCACAGCTCAACCCCAGAGCAGTATGGCCCAGTACTAGCCAGCAGTGTCATGAACTGTGGTTTCTTTTGTGCCCTGAAGCTCAAAAATTTACTTAGTCCCCAGAGTTAGCATATAGCTTCCTCCTGGCTTCCTGTTACCATATGTACTTTGTTAGCCCTTTTGCCATTTTGCTGTAAGCCACTTTGAGTCCTTGAAAGAGTGGGAGGCGGTATATAAATAATTAGTCACCACTTTCCACTCCTTCATCCATAAAGTTTCTATTTGAGTGAAAGATTGTCTCAAGGAACCATTGCCCAGACATCTCCTTACTGCTCTTCCCTACTAAATTGTAAACTCGCCCTTTCAAGCCTGGTAGCAGGCCTTACATTAAGCAAACGTTTACTAAAGTCCGATTGAGGTGAAGTGAATCAGAGGCACCGACCGCTCTCCTTTGCTGCCTCCCCAGGCCTACCTTCTCATCGAGGAGGACATCCGGGACCTTGCTGCCAGCGATGACTACAGGTAAAGCCACTGGGTCTCCTGTCCCTTTGAGCCCCTGCCTCAGAGTAGCCCTGGGAATGAGGCTGGGTCAGCATACTTACTTCCTTGCTTCCACTTCTTCCTGAATGTCTCTCCCAGGGGCTGCCTAGACCTGAAGTTGGAGGAGCTGAAGTCCTTCGTCCTACCCTCCTGGATGGTTGAGAAGATGCGAAAGTACATGGAAACACTACGGACAGAGAATGAGCATCGCGCTGAAGCACCTCCACAGACCTGAGGCCCGGCCCTGGATAGACGTGGATGCCCTCCTCCTAGGCCCTCTCTCCCACGGCCAAGGCCACCACTGAGCCGCTCCTAACAGGATCTCGGCAGCATTATGCTCTACCTAGGCTGGTTTGTAGTGACTCAACTGCAGAGCACCCCAGACAGCCATGTGGGTCTGTATTTGTAAAGTTATTGGGATACAAAGCAATTAAATAGTTTGTAATAAACAGATGGTGAGCCTACTGTGCCGTCTGCCCTGTAGGGGCTGAGAAACATCAGTGGCCTCATGATGGAGCAGATGGAAGAAAAAAGGACCAGCTACCCCTGCCCTTTCCCAGATAAAACTTGGGAGGCGCCCACTGTCTCGTGCCTATCTGCTTTATGAGACCAACCTCCCTCTCCCTGTGTTTACCTCTTCACTCACCTAAAACGGAGATGTGGCAGAATGTGGTGGCAGGCCCAAAAGGGTAGATGAGGAACCCTATAAAAACTACACAGTGGCATTTTTTACCCCTATTTTAGAGCCGAAAGCACTAACCAGCCCAAGATCTCACAGCAAAGCAGCTAAGCAGTCTATGAGCCATGCTTCCTGATGGGGAATCACGGGCTTTGGCCATCAGCTTCTAGTTTTAACCCCATTTCTGGGATATTCAGACACCTGGACCTCAGCAGATGTGTCTAGGCCATCATAATGGGGAAGGAGCAGGGGTTTCTGTTTTGGGTAAAAGGTTCCCCAAGGTGAGAGACACTCTCTTCCCCTCTGAGAGGGGATCGTGGCAGGGCGTGCCGGGCGGAACCTAGAGTAGCTAGGCGTTGGAGTTGAAGACGTTCGTCCCACATGGACTTTTTCCTGCCCTTTAATGGTCGGCGTTTTCAAAGGCCACCAATCCACCGCAGATTCGTTAGTTAATGGCAACCTCTCCTGCCAAGTGTCCCTCGGAAGCAAAATTATGCTGTCCAATAGTGGCGCTTTGGTGGGTGGGTCTAGCAGTTGCTCGGTGGCGGAGCGCTCTGGCCCGCCCCATTGGCTGGATCAAACCCAAGCGGGCCGTTGATTGGCCAGCGCTGCCAGAGGGTTACAATTCAAATGCGGGCGGGCGGGCCTGCTCCCCTGCAGTTGCCGTCGTGTCTTCCGAGTTCCTGTCTCTGTCAGTGCGGACCGGATGGCCTCCCAGAACCGTGACCCAGCTGCAGCCAGCATCGTTGCCGCCCGAAAAGGGGCCGAGCCCAGCGGGGGCGCCGCCCGGGGCTCCGTGGGCAAGAGGTGAGCGGGGTGGAGATGAAACACCCGTCGGGGCCTGGCATGCCGGGGCATTGGGACCGAGAGCAGGACTTCCGGGACCTTCACCTCCCCCTGGGACGGAGGAGGTCTGGAGGGCGGCGGGGACACGGCCGGACGACAGGCTGCTCACTGAGACCTTCCGAAGGAGGACGGGAGAATAGGGACTCCGCCGGCACCCTCCCGCCGCGTAGCCACAATGACGCCGGTTACCCTCCGTGGGCAGGGTGTGGTGTGGCGAGGACGGACAGGGATGGTATTGAGATCGAGAGAGGAGAAACGCCTGAGAGCAGTGGGAGGAAAACATGCCAGAGGCTTCCTGTAAGAGCCTGGGATTAGGACGGGTTTGGACTCACTAGGACCCTACTGTGGAGATGGGGGCGACGGGCAAGCTTCCAAGACTGCCCCTCCAGATTCCCAGGTGACCCCAGATGTTCTCTCCGCAGGCTGCAGCAGGAGCTGATGACCCTCATGGTGAGTGACCGAGCCACCCAGAGCCCCCAGCCAGCTGGTCCACCTCCCACCCGGTTATCATAGCCTCCCTCCTGCACCCAGCCCTTTGCTCCGAATGGGGCTAAAAAGATGGGTACAGTCTGCTCTCTTTCAGGGAGAAGTTCACAGACTCCACCCACACCTCCTCTTCTCCCAATCCCATCCCCTCACTGTGAACTCACCCCTACAAGGCCTTCCTCAGTGATCCCTGGCTCTCCTTCCCGGCCCTAAGCTTGCCCTGTCCCACGCCCACTCAGCATTTCTGGTCCTGTCCCGCCTTGGAGTGGTCTTCTTCATGTCCATTTCAACATCATTTCTGAACTCTCAGCTCAAACGCGCCACCTCCCACACTGCATCTCTCCCTGGTCCCTGAAGCCTTCCCTGTAACCACTCCTCGGCTCGGAACCAGCACTCACTCAAGCAGGTTAAATTCCCGGCCACCAGTAGGATGCTGGGTCCAGAGCTGCCTCCTACTTCCCTGAGTAAGCCCTGCCTCAGCCTGCGAGGATCCTTTATAATCCCAATACTCCTCCCCAGAGGGCCACGTTCAGCCCTGAGCATCTAGTCACACCCCCCAGAAGGACCCTCTCAACTCGTTCTGGTTGCTTTCTTTTGGATCAAAATGTGATTGAGGGGAAGCAGCTCACCCACGGGTCTCCATCGCTACCCCCAAAAAGTGTACTCAGAAGCCCAGCAAGTGTCATTTCCGCCCCCAGATGTCTGGCGACAAAGGAATTTCTGCCTTCCCTGAATCAGACAACCTTTTCAAGTGGGTAGGGACCATCCATGGAGCAGCTGGCACAGTAAGTGTAGAGTCTGGGTGCATGGGTGCGACTTGGCTACATCTGGTGGGAGGGAAGCAAAATTCAAGTGCCCGGTCTGCTTCCTCTGGGCAGGGCACTGCCCCAAGTTGTTCACTCTCTGAACCTTGTGGCTTTGTTCTTTCCACGTCTGCTGTGAGAGGGTTTAAAGTAAGACTTTCCATCATGGATGCCTGTGGGGGGCCAGATAGTAAGGTCGATGAATGGAGAACAAGTAAGCACTTTGTCTGAGAGGGAGGGCCCGCATCACAAAGGGGCAGCTTTCCATGGCTGCAGAGCTGATGTGAGAAAAATTGAGTCCTGTGCAAACATCTCATAACATTTACTTATTCACAACAAATTAAAATTCTGCTTGCATGGAAGTGTAACTGTGGTGGCTCTCAAGTCACCAGTTTACAACCCTAGATCAAAGGATCACTGCTGTTCCCTGTAGCTCTGGATTTTCCACCGGCTAAGGGAGCAGCCTCACCTTCTGCAGGGTGCCTCACAGTACAACCATAGCCACCCGATAGGAGACAAAGCACCAGAACCGACCTGGAGTTTATCATCTCCTGTCAGTCCCCAGACAGACTCCAATGTCCTAGCAAGTCCCCTGGTCTGAGGCTCGGATCGAGATTTGACACTAAGGTAGGGACACTCACTCCCGCCTGTTTCTCCAAATGCCAGGTATATGAAGACCTGAGATACAAGCTCTCCCTGGAGTTCCCCAGTGGCTACCCTTACAACGCGCCCACAGTGAAATTCCTCACGCCCTGCTACCACCCCAACGTGGACACTCAGGGTAACATCTGCCTGGACATCCTGAAGGACAAGTGGTCTGCCCTGTATGACGTCAGGACCATCCTCCTTTCCATTCAGAGCCTGCTGGGAGGTAACTCAGACCACTCCCTCCCTTTGCTCCCTGGGAACGTGACTCGACTCCTCTGGGCAGCCTCGTGGAGCCCCTTGGCCATTCTTTTCTCTCCACCCACAGAACCCAACATTGATAGTCCTTTGAACACACATGCTGCCGAGCTCTGGAAAAACCCCACAGGTGGGTCCCACTGGCTGCTCTTTGCCCAACCTTCAAACAGCGGGATCCCGGTGACTTGGGACAGTGTCCTGAGGACTGGGTTGGGGCCAGCCTGGCTCTGTACCTCCCCTTGGTGTTCCGGTTTGCCTGTTTGCAGTAAAACCAGGATGTTAATCCCTGTGCCATCCACCCTGGGGGAGCCCTGGGGCCACAGTGGTTAGTACGGGGCTGTTAAGACAAAAGGTCGGTGGTACTAGCCACCCCTCTGGAAGATGAGGCAGTCTACCCCTGTAAAGATTACAGCCTTGGAAACGTTATGGGGCAGTTCTACTCTATGTAAACCATGCTGTGAGTTGGAATCAACAGTGGGTTTAGTTTGTTTTTTGTTTTTTAATTCTGTCCACGTTGATGTAGGTTACAGGGCTTTTTAATAGAAGGCAAATGGCTGCCCTTCCCTGATCAAGCTGTCCTCTTACCGACCTTCACTTCTATCCCTGTCACTCACTAAGACCTCCCTGCTCTCTTCCAGCCTTTAAGAAGTACCTGCAGGAAACCTACTCAAAACAAGTCCCCAGCCAGGAGCCCTGACCCCGTCTCTCCAGCCTCCCGTGTGTTCTGTTTATTTTGTCCCTCAGATGGTCTGTCCTTTCCTTGATTTCTGTATCGTGCTCTGTATCTTAAGCTGTGGTGTCATTTTTGTTGTGTTTGTTTTTTAAATTAAGTCTCCATTTGAGCCCTTGTGATAAATATATTAAATAAATGCATTTTGGATTTGTTTGGTGTTTTTCTTTCGCAAGTTGCTGCCTTGCAGTTACTCTAGGGTTAGAGATGGGACCATGTCTGCAGAGGTCAGGTTCGTGCCCTGCCCTTTTCCTCAGAAAGGAGAAGCAAAAGCTCCACTATAGGGCCCAGCAGTGGGACGACTAGGATTTATTCCCTTATGATATTTTATAACTGCATCTGTTTCCTCATTTGTAAAATGAATGTTACAATAGTGCCTATTTCAGGGGAGTTGTGACATGCTTCGGGATTCTTAGTGGATTTGACCTAGTCTGTTGCAAATCTGGCTGAATGAGATCTTAGCCTGAAAGAGCAGTAGCTATAGCCTAAGGCATATGACTGCTAACCAGAAGGCTGGTGGTTCAAACCCACCAGCCACTCCTCGGAAGGAAGGTTGGGCAATATACTTCCATAGAGATACCACCTCAGAAACCCAAGGAGGGGTCGCTATGAGTCAGATCCGACTCCACGGCAGTGAGTTTGGTTTTTTTTTGTGTGTTGGGGGTGAGGGGAGACCAGCCACCCACCTGACACTGACACTAGAAGGTGTTCTGGCCCTGCAAAAGCAGAGAGAAGGCTTGGGCCACCCTACAGCAAGCCCAGGGTCTGGGCATACCCTGCAAGGAAGCCCCTTCCCTATCAAAACTCTCAGAATTGAGCTCAGGGCTTAGCCCCTGCCCCAGGTCCCTCATGGATGGCTCCATGTTCCAATGGGGCGTGTTTACCTCCTGCTCCATTGCCAGCAGCTCCTGCAGCTGCTGCACCCACTGACCCAGGGTCCCAGCCCCTGGTACCTCCTTCCCACTGACCTGCTGTACACTCCAGCCTTTTGACCCCCAAGGAGGAGACCCGAGTGCTGACAGCTGGGTCCCAGCAGGGGGAAGGGCAGGCGGAGGTGATTCGCTCAGCCCAGGTCCTATAAGATCTCCAAGGTGCCGAGCTCAGCACTGAGCCAGGCCAGCTCAGCCAGCAGCTGGTCATGCAGGCCTTGGGGGAGGGGGAGGAGGCAGCAGGGGCGCCTGTCAGGAAGGTCCCCACCTACCCCTGCTTCCTCCTGCTACTGGCCCAGGCCTCTCTGCTCCCACACTAGGCAACCACATGAGAAGAAAATCAGAGCTAGGATTGAAACACAGGCGTCTGAACTGCGGTTCCCGGGGCTTGGAGCCGTGCTTCCTAATCTAAAGTGAGGATTTTGTTAAAGTGCAAATTTTGATTCGCCAGGTCCCGGGCAGGGCCTGAGTCTTCATTTCTAATCAGTTCCCAAGCGACGTCTTTGCTGTGGGTCTAGTTAAACAATGGTTTAGAGCAGTCCTTCTCTAGGTGTGGTCCTTCCAGCTGCGGGGCCATCAGCTGGGAGCTTGATAGAAAAGCAACACTCCGGTCTGTTGCTACAAGCTGTCCCGGTGATTCCGATATTTGCTCAGGTTTGGAAACCACTGGCTTAGAGGATGTCTGAGAACAGAGCTCAGTAGCTGGTGCTCAATTGGCTCCCAACAGATGGTGGCCAAGGGGATGGATTTTTGTCTGCCTTTGGGGAAACTTCTGTGTGGTCACTGGTCATGGTATTTGGCCCCCTAGATTGTCACGTGACCTACTTTCTCTCAATCTACTGTCATTCAGAACCAATCAGAGTCTTCCTTGGAATTAATCACTGGTAGAGAGAAATTCTTTCACTCATTAGGTTACTAAAAGGGAGGCCCGGTGAGTCTGGGCTGCTATAGAGAAAGCTGCCCATGGAAGAAGACAAGCAGAGCCCAAAAGCTGAGAGAGGAGAGAGGCAACATTGTGATACTCTAGCCTCTAGTCCACACCATAATGTATCAGTTTCACAAGGCAATAAATGCCCTTTCAGTTTAAACAAGTTTCGTTTTGGTTTCTGTCATTTGCAACAGAAGAAGTATTAGAGTAAGCAGCACTGGTGGTGTTGGGTGCTGTTGAGTTAACTTCAATTTATAGAGATCCCACGTAACCAAACAGAACTGTCCTGCAGGGCTTTCTATGTGATAATCTTTATAGAGAAGGCTGGCGGTTCAAACCCACCAGCCACTCCTCAGAAGGAAGGTTGGGTAATCTACTTCTGTAGTGAGTGATACCACCTCGGAAACCCAGGGAGGGGTCGCTATGAGTCGGGTCCTACTCAATGGCACACAACAACAACAATCTATAGAAGCAGATCACAAGTCTTTCTCCCACAGAGCTGCTGGGTGGGTTTGAACTGCCACCCTTTCAGTTAGCAGCCAAGCACTTAGCTGTCGCACCACCAGGGCTCCTTAGGGTATTGTTGTTGTTGTTGTTGTTGTTGTTTGCCGTCGAGTCGACCCCGACTCATAGCGACCCCTCCTTGGGTTTCCGAGGCAGTATCACTACGGAAGTAGGATTGCCCAACCTTCCTTCCGAGGAGTGGCTGGTGGGTTTGAACCGCCAGCCTTCTGGTTAGCAGTCAAGTGCCTTAGCCACTATGCTACCAGAGCTCCTGCCTTAGGGTATTAGAAAGTAGAATTATTCCCAGTCACTCACCAGAGTCAAGTGCCTGCATGGTAAAGGTCCTGAGTTTGGGGCTGGTGGTAATTCAGAAAAAGACACAGGCCTGTGATCAAAGGGGCTGATGCTTAGGGGGTGGGTAGGCACAGAGATGACAGTAGAATCAGTGGTGCTTAAGAGCTCAGACTGTCCAGGTTCAAGGACTGTTAGAATCCCAGCTCCACCCCATGTTGCTTATGCACACACTTACACTTAACCCCTGTGTAGAAAGGAGCCCTTGTGGTGCAGTGGTTAAGTGCTCAGCTTCTAACCAAAAGGTCGGCGGTTCAAACCCACCAGCCACTCCATGGGAGAAAGCTGTGGCAGTCGGTTTCTGCAAAGATTACAGCCTTGGAAACTCTGGTGCGGCTCGACTCTATCATTTAGGGTCGCTATGGGTCAGAATCAACTCTACGGCAAGGGGCTCTCTAAAATGGAAAGGATACTAGTACCTGCCTCACAGGGTAATCACAAGGATCTTAGAACAGTGCCCGGCACTTAGTAACCACTCAATAAGTGTTGTGTACTGGACTTACAAGTTGCTATGAAAACACAGAGGTGGGGCACCGAGGCAGAATAGTATGGTCAGGGAAGGCTTTTCCAGAGAAGGTGCTGGGGCCACAGAGGTATAAGACAGCCCGGGGAGAAGGGGAAGCAGTCGGGCTGGCGGGGGAGCACGGATGACTGACCAAAACGGGCCGTGGCTCTAGGGTGGCTGTGTGGCTAAAATGACACAGTGCAAGCAATGCGTAGCACACAGTAGGCACTTAATAAATGGTGATGGTGATTAAATTCTAGCGCTGATCCCGTCTGGAAATACAAACCGGAATGGGACAGAAAGAGGCGAGAAGAACGTGAAGGAGAGGAACGGGCCGCAGCAATGAGGAAGAAGAGGAGACTTCAGAGTTTCCCGAGTGACAGTGGTGATCATGCTGACCACAGCACTGAGGAAAAGGAGTCTCCGGGGGGTGCACGGTTAAGTGCTAGACTGTTAATTGAGTTAGAATCAACCCCATGGCATCTGCTTCTTTTTGTTGTTGTTATGTGCTGTTGAGTAGACCCGGCTCATAGCGACCCCTCCTTGGGTTTCTGAGGCAGTATCACTATGGAAGTAGATTGCTCAACCTTCCTTCCAAGGAGTGGCTGGTGGGTTTGAACAGCCAGCCTTCTGGTTAGCAGTCAAGTGCCTTAGGCACTACGCCACCAGAGCGCCTATGGCATCTGCTTAGCATCTATTAAATGCTGACTAGGTTCCAGTGTTCTAAGCACTTCACACACAATCCTGTGAGGTAGGTCCTACTGTCATGATTTCCATTTACAAAGTGGCTTAATGTGTGACAAGGAGCTCTGGTGACATAGTGGACAATGCATTTGGCTGCTAAGCAAAGGGTCATCAGCTCAAGGCCAACAGCTGCCCCATGGAAGGAGGATGGGGCAGGCTACTTCCACAAAGATTTAGAGGCTCGGAAACCCAACAGGTTACTACTATGAGCGGGTATTGACAATGGCAGTGAGTTTGGCTTTTGGAGTCGTGTCACAGGCAGTGAGGACTCCAGCTCAGGCAGCCTGACTCTGAAGCTAAACCAGCACTACCCTTCCTGAGGGATGGTTTGATGCCTGCTGTAATTGTCTTGCGTACAAAGACCTCCAGGAGCCAGAGCTGGCAGCCAATGGGACCAAGGAAGGAGATGATGGTATCTGAACCCGGTCGTCTGAGTTGCATTTGCCAGGAGGAAAAGCATCCCAGGCAAGGACAGCATTTGCAAAGGGCCAAAGCCCTGCAAGTGCATCCGGGTCTGTATCAGGAATGGTCAATATCCCAGTGTGGGTGGAGTCCCTGCGAAGCGGGTATCGGGAGGGAGAAATTTGCATTTTGATACTAGCAGCAGGGGGGAGACTTGAAGGACTTTCAACAGGGAAGTGGCCGGATCACACAGCCAGATCGTGTTGGTGGCCCTCGGTTAGCACCTTGGAAGGGGTATAAAGCAGGAAGACCGGCAGAGGCAGGGATTCAGGGTTGAGATGACAAGTCAGCACGTCCTTCGTAATTGCGTGCCTCGCCCCTGCCATCTACGGTATCTCGCACCTGTAAGCGCGCCAAAGAATACACAGGCAGAGACCATGCTGCCTGGGATGACTGATGGCATTGTGAGTAAGGCATTTGGCTGCTAACCCGAGGGACAGCGGTTCAAATCCACTAGCTGCTCCGCCGGAGGAAGATCAGGCAATCTGCTTCCATAAAGATTCACAGCCTTGGAAACCAATGAGGGTCGCTGTGAGTGGAATCCACTCGATGGCAGTGGGTTTGGCGGGCACCGGTGGGCATACCCTCCCAGCTCCCCACATCCGTGGCCTGCGTAAGGCGTGGCGAATACGGCACCCAATACCCAAAGGCCCCACAAGGAAAAGCAGGCGGGAAGGTGAGGGGACCGCAGGGGCTTGCTTCCGGATCCCAGCCTCCTGCCTCGTCCTCACCCTACACCACCCGCCCGCGTATCGTCCGCGGGCTCACTCTGCCCCGGCTCCAAGCCCTGCAGCTTCCCTGCTCCGGCGCGTGGCGCAGCCGCGGCCCAGCCGCGGAGCCGCTCAGAACCAGCGCCAGCTGCGGGTAGCTTAGCGCGAACCCACCGAGCGCAGCGAGCGCGGCCGGGGGCTCAGCAGCGGCTGCCTCGGATCTCGGCCCCCGGGGCGCTCGGGGTGCTTGACAGTGGCCGAGCAAGGCGACTCTGAGACCCGCTGCCCCGGCCCTCGGTTCCCTCAGGCCACGCGCTTTGCAAGGTTTCCTTTTATTCCTTCCAGACCCAGACCCAGACCCAGAAGGACTCGCGCCTCCCTTCTGGGCGGAGGATGGGAGCGGGTGGAGCCGCCCAGGCGCAGGGGACGCGCGTCTTGGCGCAGGCGAGGGCCGACTCTTTACTGCACGCCCTCCATCATCTTCAGGAACTCTGCGGGGAAGAAGACGAGACAGGTCAGAGCCCATTGCGGGCGTCGGCTGGGTCCACGCTCAGAGGCACCAAGTCATCAATGGCTAAACAGCACCAAGGCGCCCCAGGCCAATACCAGCTCGGGGGGGACGGGAGGGACCTCTCAGGCTACGCCCAGCCCTGCCCACAAGGCCAAGGGCACACCGCAGCCCTGAGCGCCCGGGCGCCCCCGCGGCCCTCACCATCAAAGTCGATGCGGCCGTCGTTGTTCTTGTCTCCGTCTTTCATCAGAGACTCGAGCTCCTCGTCGGTCACGTGCTCCCCGGAAGCTCGGAAAATCTCAGCCAGCTCCTCCGCGTCGATGTAGCCGTCCGCGTTCCTGGGGGCAGCGGGCCAGGACCACACTCAGGGCCGGGGTAAGCTGCCTGGCCACGCGGGAGCGCCCTGCCACACCCTCCTCCTGGGAATGGCGGCGCCCTGCCTGCGCACCAGGCCCCCACGTCCCTAGCGCACCTGTCGAAAATGCGGAAACACTCGGCCAGCTCCTCCTCGCTCTTCCCCTTCGCATCCTCTTTCATCTGGCGCACCATCATGACCAAGAACTCTTCGAAGTCGATGGTGCCGCTGCCTGAGTAGGGGAGAGGGTGCGCGGGTGGGCCTGAGCCCTGGATGCCCGCCTCTCCCCGCCATCACCAAGCCCGGCCGCCAGAGGGTCGCCCGCTCACCATCCTCATCCACCTCCTCTATGATGGCGTCCAGCTCTTCTTTGGTGGGTGTCTGGCCCAGCATCCTCATCACGGTGCCCAGCTCTTTGACGCTGATGTCCCCGCCGCCATCAGCATCGAACATGTCAAAGGCGGCCTTGAACTCTGCCGGGGGTGGGGGGTGGGGAGGAATGAGGGCGCAGAGCTAAAGGGAACCTGGGTTCTCTGCTACCTCCAGAGCCCCCATTGTAGATACACCTACCCTCCCACCCTGGCCCTACCCCAAACATCACACACACACACAGCCCCAAACAGCCCATCCTCCACCCTCACTCACCAGCGATCATCTCCTCGCTGAGGTAGGACCGAGCCTCAGCCTGCTGGTCAGTCTGCAAAAGACACACACAGTCAGAGACCAAAAAGGGCAGATTCTTGCCGTAGCTCAATTCTTCCCAACCCCATTTATGTAAGTGCCCCCCACTTCCTCCAGCAGACCAGGTCCCAACTTGCCACACCTCCCTGGTGGCCCCACAGCACCCAAACCTGTTTAGAAGCACTAAGGAGACAGATTATACTCAAGGCCACCTCACAGGTCAGTCTGAAGTCAAGTCAGGAATACCCCCACCCTCGTGACCTTGTGCAAATCACTCAGGATAGAGACGAAATCACGGACATTAAAGCAACTTCCCAGGATGATCTTCCAGTTTTTCCTGGCTCCTAATGGTGCCTCGGAAGGAAGATGGGGCAATCTACTTCCATAGTGATACTGCCTCAGAAACCCAAGGAGGGGTCGCTATGAGTCGGGGCCAACTCAATGGCACATAACAACAACAATGGTGCCTATTGTTTTAGTTCCCAAAAACCAAAACCAAAACCACTGCCGTTGAGTTGATTTCAACTCATAGCAATGCCCACTGGTTTCCAAGGCAGTCAATCTTTATGGAAGAAGATTGTCCCATCCTCCTTCCACAGAGCAGCTGGTGGGTTGAATGCCAACCTGGTTAGCAGTCAAATGCTTTAGGCACTGTGTCACCAGAGCTCCTTAGTGCATTAGTATGTGCTCAATAAATGTCTGTTCTCAAATAAACAATAAAGCAACACAAAGTTACTGAGAACCTACTACATGTCAGGCCACAACCAGGTACTGGAACCACCAAGAAGAGTGGGACACACTATTCCCTCCCTTCCAAAATGGAAGATGTGGGTGGCTACACATTTTAAGATTCCTTCTTAGGATTCAGTCATTAGAGCAAAGAGTCTCATGCTGGAGAGAATGGGCTGGAGGCCTTGGCGGGGTGAAGGTAAGACTGCTGTAGGGGTTTCCAGTCCCAACCAAGCCAGGCCATCTGGGTCAGCTTCCTGGAGGAGGGGCCATTGGACTGAAGCTGGCAGTGAGAAAGGGCTGAAGTGTCCAAGGAGTTCTTCGGCCTCTGGCCTCGCTCCTTGCCCTTCCCCCCCTTTCCCTATGCCAGGAGGGCAGGCTATTTTTAGTCAGGTGTGGGCAACAGCAGCTGGGCTCTGGGGTCTGGTTACTCCTTGAAGTGGGGAGGGGAGTCTCAGAAGAATGAGAGCCCCAAATCAGAACCCCTCTCTGAGAGGCTGGGGTCTGTCTAACTCTGGTCTGTCATCCTCTGTCCTGGCTCCAGGTGTTGCAAGCATCCTGTCTTCTGTCACTAACAGTAGGAAGATTTGGTCATGCTTTTAGCCCATTTCTGCCACTCACTGGCTTGCTGGGTGACCTTGGTCAACTCCCTCTGGCTCTCAGGGTCCCCATCTGTACCATGAGGGAGCCAAGTGAAGACCCCTCACAATTCTATGACTGACATTGCTCCAAGTGTCAGGTCTGGAAGAATCACTAGCCTTGAGACTCAATGACTCAGTCCCTGGAACATTCCAGCCCTTCCCTCCCAAGAGAAGCTGAAGGCCTTCTTCTCAGGCTTTCTCTGAGAAACCTGGGTTCTAAGGAACCTTCACGCTCCATCTTCAAACATCCAAGTTACTGCCCCCAGAGCACCCAGACCTGTCCTCAGAGAGGCCCAGAGGTGCTCCAGGGAGTGAGGGAACGAAGTTCCTCCTTATCCTTACCATGGTTGCAGGTCACTGGGACTCCTCTGCCACAGGTCACCTCCTCTGCACTCCACCACCCAAAAATGTCCTGGCCCACTCCAGCTCCCAGGATTTGTAGGGGCACCCTTGCCTCCCACCTCCCTGCTCCCCAGGACTGGATACTCCAGCCAATCAGATCCTGGGGTCAGTAAGCCCCACCCTTCCCAGAGCCCTTAGCCCATTACCTAATTTAGCCAAGGGCCCTTGCAGAGAAATTTAAACCTCCAAGCAGGTGGCAGGCCTTGACGTCCTAGATTCTTGGGAGGAGGACCCGCCCTGCTCTGCTGCCTCAGAGAGCAGCCCCCTCAGGAAGCACACTTGCTTCAAGATGGGAAAAGACCATCAGAACAGGAAAGTGGGTAGAGCTGGAAGAGCACAGCCTTGTGGTTCGAAAATCCAAGATCCGAGTACTGCCTCTACGAGCTGTGTGACCTTGGGAAGGTGGCTATGCTTCTCTGAACCTCCGTTTTCTCAGCTGTAAAATGGGGATAGTCAGAACCTCCCTCACAGAGAGACTGGTAAATGGGAGCCCAGGTATGAGTCACCTAACTTGTGCCAGATACATGAGGTTGGAACTTAGAAAGTAGAATGTCTTGACCTTGAACCATAGTAAGGGTAGGGGATAGGAGGAGGTAAAAATGATGGGCACGGCCACCATTTATTGAACCTCCATGGTATGCCACACACTGTGCTAGGCATGTTCATCACATGACCTCATCAAGTATTCATCCTATGAGGTAGCAACTATTATTATCCCCATTTTACTGAAGTGATTTGTAAATCCTAAAGCTCTATACTTATGTGAGTGATTCTTATTCTTAATCCTGCCTGGGGAGGAGTTGAGACAGTCCTAGGAGGGCAGCAGGTGTTCAGAAGAAGTGTGTGGAGGGGTCAGGGAGAGAGTGCAGATTTAGAGGAGAAATAAGATAAACACTGAAGAAAAGATTCTTCTCTGAAGCTTAGCTTCTCTAGGAAAAGGGTGTTTGGGATTCACTTTTTTGGGGCGACAGGGGATGTAGCCAGGGGAGTTTCTCCAAGTGGGTGAAGGGACAGATGGCCCCTTCCTGGAGGGCCGTGAAGAAGTCTAGAGGTGCTCACCTGGCCTTCTGGAGGGTGAAGACATGGACAAGTTGTCTGAAGGGAGCCCACCCCGTGAATCCCCAGGGTTTAGGCTGGGTGTTGGGGATTAGGCAAGGCTCATGGACAAGCAGACCAATCAACAGAAAGAACATTGAGGCAACCCAGGTCCTGGAGCCAGAGAAGGGGCTGGACAGCAGAGGAGGCAGATAGACAGTGGCAACTGGGCTGCCCCCTTCCCCTATATATAGACATTCCAAGGAAAGCTCTGGAAGCCAGGTCAGGCTAAATCAGGCCTCCCCCAGGCTGGCAGAGGGCAGAGGTGACATCCAGGAAATGTCAGTTTGGACACAAAGGTTGGAACCAGCAGTACCTTTGGAAAAGAGGCCGTGGACCCCTCAGAGGTCATGTTGTTCATCCATTTGCTTTTTCCTTTATTAAGAGAAATAGATAAGGTCTCACCCACCCGTCCAATCTCACTCCCCTGGCTCTCCCCACCTTGCAGTTCCTCTGCTGTGGTCAGATTTAAATACATCATTCATCCTCCACCCTGCATGGCCTCCAGGCCTCTGCACAAGCTGCTGTGTGTCTGTTTGTTTCATTTAGTTTTTCTGCCAAGATCCCTCCTCCTCCACTCCCAGGCCAAGGGAGTCCAGGGTGGTCTCTAGTAGTTTCCTCAGTCACAGCACTGAGCCTATTCTGAGTGCCACAGACCAGACGGTTTCCTGCTTCCCATCTCATCCCCCAGGGCCCAGCACTTGGCACTTAACTGTGTCATCCAGTCGATTCTGACTCCCAGCAACCCTATAGGATAGAGTAGAATTGCCTCATAGGGTTCAAAGGCTGTAATCTTTACAGAAGCAGACTGCCACATCTTTGTCTTGAGGAGTGGCTGGTGGTTTTGAACCACTGTCTTTTCAATTAACAGCCAGGCGCTTAACTGCTACACCCCCAGGGCTCTTACTTAGCTCTTAAAGTGTTCAGTAAATATTGTGTTCTATGTAAGAATAACTGAACTGACTGCATCTAGTTTAATATAAAGAGGAATGTCCTAACAGTTACGGATGAACAATAATGAGAACACACAGCTTGGTGAGGTCATGAACTCCACACACACACCCCAATCATTGGATGTAAGCAGGAGCTAGATCGTCTCTCAAGGACACTGCAGGGGGATATCCAAACAGGAAAACACAAGACAGGGCATCAGGAATCCTTCTACTTCTGGCTCTGTTCGTATGAACCAGGGTCCTAAGAACCCCTTCCCCTCACTGAGACTCAGATTTCCCGCCTGTAAAATGGCAGCAGCAGACCAGATTTCTGAGGGACTGCCCTGCTCTGACAGCCATGGTATTACATTGTATCCAAGTCCCTGGGTGATGCAAATGGTTTGTGTTCAACTACTAGGGTGGTTCAAACCTACCCAGTGGTCCCTCAGAAGAAAGGCCTGGTGATCTCCTTCTGGAAGATTACGGCCAAGTAAACCCGTGAAGCACAGTTCTACTGAAGCACAAGCTCACGGGGCGGCCGTCAGTAGGAACTGACTAGATGGCAACAGGTTTGGTTTTTATTTTTCCTTTGTACCCAGACTTATGAGGCATATACCGAAGTTCAACTTAATACTCAGCCAGTGTTTGGTGAATAAGTGAGTGTTGAATGAATGATTGAGATGTGTCTTTCACGCCTCAACACCGTGCCTCCAAGCAGAATGAAGAGGGGTTATGACTTTGATATGACACGGACTTGAGCTTCAATCCCAGCTCCCCTGTTTATTATTAGTAATAAACCTCCTTCCCAGGAGGCTGTAAGGCTCAGTGTGACCTGTCAAATGCCTAGAACAGTAGAAGCTCCAGAAATGAGAACTCACCCCTCTGTTCATCTGTTCATCTTACCATCCCTCTCTCCTGGCCACCCAAAAAGGGTAGGCGCAAAATAGTGGAGTAGTGGTTAAGGCATTTGGCTATTAACCGAAAGGTCAGTGGTTCTAACCCACTGCAGACCAGCCCCTCCGCGGAAGAAAGATGGGGCAGCCTACTTCGGTAAAGATTCACAGACTTGGAAAACCAATGATTTTATTTGTTTGATTGTGTAACTATCAGTATCTGCCTGCCAGGAACTGATATCTAGGTCTGGTGACAGGAAGCGTCCTTAGTCTTCTTGACTTGCTGCTGCCCTCTGGATAAAAGAGATAAACCCGGACCCAGCGGAAGTGCTGAGATTAACCCCCTGCAGCATGGGAAAACGGTGGCTGCGAAGACCAGCCAGGAGACCTGAGCTCCAAGCCTCCATCCCCAGAAACCTCTGATAAGTTGTGTGACTTTGAGCCAGTAATTCTGCCAGCTGGGTCTCAGTTTCCCCGTTTACTTACTTCCTAAGTGTGGGGCTCAAATGGCATTGTGAAAGCCTGTGAACCTTGTGGAAGACCCGGTCATTACATAACTGATCGTTTCGTCAGCCCTTCTGTAGCAGGCACTCACTGAACTAGGCTCCTTCCACGGGCTGCAGCTAATCGCCGCAAAACTGATGATTGGTTCCACGTTTGCATACCAGAAAAGCCTAGGAAATCAAGATCAGATTCCAAACCAGGTCACGAGTCTTCTCTTGGCCTCAGTTTCCTAACTGGAGAAAGGGGCTTTCTACTATCGCATAATGACTTGGGAAAGTTCAAGAGCATCAGGTGGAAACTGGGGAGTAGGAGTGAGGGCGCTTTAATATTGGAGTCAGCCTGGCTCTGCCGGAGCGGTGGGAGGACTCAAGGAGGATGCGCGCCCCTACAGATTGGGGACTATCTGCGGGAGGCTTGGAGCTCGCCCTGGGATGACCCAGAATTCCCAGATTCCTCCTGGAGCTCAGGGCCCAGGGTTCCCGGGCGGCTCCAGGGAGCGGGCGGGGCCAGAGGCGGGGCGGCGGCAGGAAGAGGCCGTAGCGGCGCTCGGAGAGGCCCGGAGGCTTCGGCGAGCAGCTGGGCGCTGCACCGGGACCCCGAGGGAGGCGCGCTCCGGGGTGCACCGCGGGCCGCACGAGGTAGAGGCTCGCGAGGGAGCGGAGAGACGTGGGAGCGGCCAGTGCTCTTTGGAAGAGCGCGGCCCAAAGCGCTTAGGTCCGGGAGGCTGTGCGGCGGGAGCCGGGCTACCCGCCGGACCCCCGGAGCGGGGCGGGGCCTGCGAGGCTCCTCCCCCTCCGCCCGGGCCCGTCCCCTCCTCCCTGCGGGCGGGGCTGTTCCCTGGCGAGGACTCAGCGCCGCGCGCTCCCCCCAGGGTGCCATGGCCTCCCGGCTCCTCCACCGGCTGCGGCACGTCCTGGCTGGCGACAGCCCTGGAGAGGCGGCGGTTGGGCCTGAGGCCGAGCAGTTCCCCGAGAGCTCGGAGCTGGAGGACGACGACGCCGAGGGCCTGTCCTCCCGCCTCAGCGGCACCCTCAGCTTCACCAGCGCCGAGGACGAGGACGACGGGGACGACGAGGAGGCTGGCCCCGACCCGCTGCTCCCCGGGGACGGGGCGTCCGGAGAAGACGCAGGCGAGTGCAGGGAAACGGGCCGGGACCCTGGAGCTCGGTTAGGCCTCCGTCCCAGCCGCGCTCCGAGAGCATCTGGGGGCGCTCGGAGTTGATCCAGCCGAAACTCTGACACTTCCTCAAGTGCCCAGCCACCTCTTGGCTGTGTGACCTTGAGAGAGTCACAACACCTCTCTGAGCCAAGGTTTCCCTTGCGTCAAATAGGGAAAGTTACCCCCACCTCAGGGCTGGTGCGGGCATTAAACGTATAGGGCCTGGTATGCAAACGGTAATAATGTGCTAGCGATGCTTTGGGATGGGAACATTTATTTAGCTCCTACTGTATTCCAGGAAAGGGGCTCTGGTGACTCAGTGGTTAAAGCATTCGGCTGCTAATCAAATCGGCAATTCGAACCCACCAATCGCTCTGCGGGAGAAAGGTGAAGCAGTCCTCTTCCCTAAAGATTCACAGCCTTGGAAACCCTATGGGGTAGTTCTACTCTGTCCTATAGGGTCTCTGAGTTCGAATCGACTTGATGGAAATAGTTTGTTTTGTTTGTTTATCTTCCAGACACAGTTTGGCATCCGGCCCCTCGCTGGTCCTCAGTTTCCATTTCTGTAAAATGGGGATAAAGCTTGCCTCGTAGGTTGGGGGAAGTGAGTTCATGGCATGTGGTCAAATCGGTCCTGGCCCTCGGCACTGGGATGTGACCAGCAATTTGTGCTTCCACAGAACCGATGCCCCCGCCTGATGGGCCGCGGGGCAGTCAGGTCCTGGCCCGGCAGCTGCAGGATTTCTGGAAGAAGTCCCGGAACACCCTGGTACCCCAGCGGCTGCTTTTCGAGGTGACCAGCGCCAATGTCGTCAAGGACCCACCCTCCAAGTACGTGGTGAGTGAGGATCCTGGTCCTGGGCTGTGAGTCCAGAAGCCTGGTGTGGCTAAGAGGCATTAGGGAAGGCTCTAACTTCCCGGAAGGGGCGTCGCCTGGGGTAGGGGGCTGGCTAGGCAGTTAGAATCGGCTGTCCCGTTTTACAGGCAGGGAAACTGAGACCAGAAAGGGGTTGTAACTTGCAGGTCCTCAAATGACTTAGCTTTTCCAAGCCTGACTAATGTGGGATAACGAACTTGCCTCCCACTCTGGTTCTGGGACTAAGAGAATGGATCTGTGTGCAAGGGTTTTATAAATTGTAGCAAGATATGGGGGGAAGGGCATTATCTGGGTTAGACTTGCAACCAGAGTTTCATGGGTTAGTGGTTAAGGAAATGGGTCGTGGAGCCAGAATAGGGTTGAGTCAAGTCTCATTTACCTGATCCCTGCAATCCCAGGTGTTTGAGCTTGGAAGAGTCATGTGCCCCTGTGACCATCTAGGTTCTCACCTAGGCAATGGGGGTAATGACAGTGGTATCCCCCTCAGAGGACTGTAGCAGGAATTAAAGGGCACAGAAAGCCCTTAGCATTGTGCTTGCCTGGCATTATGAGATGCTCAATAAAATGGTCGCTAGAAGGAGCCCTGGTGGCTACTAACCAAAAGGTGGTAATCTGGTCTGTAAAGATTACAGCCTTAGAAACCCTGTGGTGCAGTTCTTCCTTTTCCTACAAGGTCACCATGAGTAGGAACCAGTGAGTTTGGGTTTTTAAATATTATTTTACTTCGAGTTGAAAAATAAGTGGCACCTGTGGTCTGCTGTAGGAGCTCTGGTGGCATAGTGCCTAAGACATTTGACTGCCAACCAGAAGGCTGGCAGTTCGAACCCACCAGCCACTCCTCGGAAGGAAGACTGGGCAATCTACTTCCGTAGTACTACCGCCTTAGAAACCCAAGGAGGGGTCGTTATGAGTCGGATCCAACTGAATGGCAGTAAGTCTGGTTTTTTGGTATGGCCTGCTGTGTCCTCCTTCTAACCCAGGTGATGCAATTCTCCCCCACCCTGAACAGGAGAATCCTGTCCTAAGGGCCAGACTTAGGGGACCAGTCTGGGGTTGCGGTGGCGTAACATGGAGGAGATGCCTTAGAGTCCCTGCCCTCGCTGTGGAGCGGAACTGGCATGAGGAATGAGGCCTGCCAGGGTATGCTCCTTGCCAGGTCTGAAACCCAGCCTGGCCTGGCCAGCCCTGGCAGTGGTAGTGGTGGTGCTCTGCCCCTCCTGTCCCTCCTCTGCCTCTGACTCAGCAGGAAGGGGGCCCAGAGCCTGTCCCACATCTGGGCCTCTCTACACCTCCCTGCTGCTGTTAGTAAACAGGACCACGCCCTTGGGGACACTCCTCCAATTTGAGCAGGGGTTGACTCTGTGATGCCCAGGTCTGAAGGGGCGAAGATCTCAGAGCTCTGAGGTGGCTGAGGGGTCGTCCACAGGAAGGGACCACCAGGGATCAGCCTCCTGGGAACAGCCCAGGGCAGAGAGGAATGAGGGTGCCTTCGAATGGGAAGAGAATAACAGGATATAGCAGATGGTCAAGTATTTCTTGGCGCATGTCTGGAGAAGCAAGTCACCTTCTCTGTCCAGTGGACACCCCTGATCCCCATCTAACTTCTGGGGGCTCAGAGCACAGGTTTGGGAATCAGACCTACGTGGGTTTGAATCCCTGCGGGGCCACTTATCAGCTGTGTGCCTCAGAGTGGGTCTTTGAGCTCTTTGCCCCCTCTGAGCCTGCTTCCTTAGCTGTGCCAGATAAGGACACATTCTTTGCATGCTGTTGTGACAATTAAATGAAGTAATTCTGTAAAGTACTCAGCACAGGGCACAGGTAGGTGCTCAGTTTCGGTGGGAGGTGACAAAGATCAGATGAGACAATGGATGTAAAAATTTTTTTGTAAAAATAAAGTCTACAAGAACATAATGGGTTATTATAGACCAGTGCTTCCTGAAGTGTGTTTTGAAAAATAATGGTTCCCTGGAATATTAAGGGAATTCAAAAAAGGGTTTTGTAGCCAATATGTTCCAGGAATGTAGATTTGAATGAGAGTAAAATAGGTTTGGTTGTTGTGAGACTTTCAAACTCTTTATATTAATATAGTTGGTAAAGTAGAGGGTCAGCGGGAAAGAGGAACACCCACAATAAGGTGGATTGACACAGTGGTTGCAAGAATGGGCTCAAACACCACATGATCCTCAGCCTATATGACTATGAGACCAAATGAACTAGATGGTGCCCGGCTACCACTGTCAACCACTCGGAGAGGGATCTGTGTAGGAGATCCTGGATAGAGTGTGAGAACAATGTGGAACAAAACTCAAAATTATGAAGAAAAAAAAAAAAGGGACCATGTTTGCCAGTCTGACACAGCCTGGTGGAACCCCTGAAGAGCCCCTAGCTGCCCTTCAGGTCTGGAACTGAACCCACTCCTGTGGCTTCCAGCTGAACATTTACATTAGGCAGATATACTCCTTGTATATCAATCATCGGAGAGTAGAAGGGCTGTGTATACACAGGGAGACAGCTCAGGGGGCAGGAGTGAATGGGAGAGAAGGACACAGGGAAGGGGTAACTATGGGGAGGAAGTGGGAAGAGAGCTGCTGCACTGTGGGACTGCAGTCCATGCCATGGGACAACGTGTATGTGAACTGCTATATGGAAAATGAATTTGCTCTGTAAACTTTCACCCAAATCATAATTAAAAAAAAAACCTGGGCTCAAACAGCAACAATTTAGAGAATAGTGCAGGACCAGGCAGTGTTTCGTTCCGTTGCACTGGGGGTCACTACAAGTCAGAACTGAATTGATGGCACCTAACAACACTTTCCAACTCATTGGGCTTCCAAGGCTGTAAGTAGATCGCCCCATCTTCCTTCTGTGGAGCAGTTGGTTGGTTTGAACCACCCACCCTCTGGTTAGCAGTCAAGTGCTTTACCCATTACACCACCAGAGCTCACTTTTTTTTTTTTTTTATTTAACAACACCACTACATTAATATACACTGAGAATCTTCAAGACAATAGAGTGGGCAAGCCTAAGTGATTGGGAGTGGCTATAACACTGACAGTCCTATAGAAAAAATTGGAGAGAAAAAGCTAAGTCTGGTGTTACTGTGGAGCCTATAGGTGATGCAATGGTTAAGGCATTTGCCTGCTAATCATAAGGTCAACAGTTTGAACCTACCAGCCACTTCACAGGAGAACAATGAAGCAGTTTACTTCTGTAGAGGTTTATGGCCTTGGAAACCCCATAGGGTTGCTGTGAGTCAGAATCAACTCTGTGGCAGTGGGTCTGGCATTACTTTGGAGTCCTTGGGTGGTACAAACTAAGCACTAGCTTACTAACCCGCAAGTTGATGGTTCGAATGCACCCAAAGGCACCTTGGAAGATAGGCCTGGCAATCTATTCCCAAGATTCCAGCCACAGAAAACCCTAGGGAGCACACACAGCGTCCCCATGAGTTGAAGCCAACTCCCTGGCAACCTTTGTGTTTGTTTGGTGTGAGTATGCCTTTAACACCTAATGCCTGCTGATCTCCTTTTAAACCTGTTGGTTTGGCATTACTATGAATTAACCCATACTCAGGTTCTTAGACCTGGCGGGGGGCGGGGGGGCGCTCAGTGGTCCTTGTGTCCCCTGTTTCCCAAGCCTCGGTCCTTCCACACCACCTTCCCAGTCCTTGTCCTGTCTGAGTACCACTTGTACGATTATTTGCTTACTATTTTCTTTAACTGAACCTGCTTTTTTTTTCTTAAATAAGTTTATTTTAAAAGACAACTTTACAGCAATACTGCGTGTGGAAATCCTCACTTGCCACATACAGAAGCTGTTAATGTCGGGTGCCATTGAGCTGATTCTGACCCATGATAAGCCGTGTGGAAGCAGAATTGCCTTATAGGGTTCTCTAGGCTGTGGTCTTTATGGCAGCAGATCACCAGATCTTTCTCCTCAGGAGCCACTGGTGGGTTCAAACCACTGACCTTTCTGTTAGCAGCCCAGTGTTTAACCATGGTGCCACCAGGGCTCCCTAAATAGAAACTAGCCATCAAAAATAAAGGCAGTTGACAATGAAGGGTGTCGTTAAATCCTGGTAGAGACTGCTGTTGCCTGACCTGAGATCAGCTTTCTGGCTCTTTTCTAAAATTAGAGGTGCGAAGTGTCGGAAGGGTGCTTAAAAGAATCATCATAAAGCCCTAAGCTGAGAGCTTCTCAATTTACAGTCAGAGATTAAGAGAGAATCGAAGGGGGAATCACCTCCTACCTGTGATTCACTGTTCATTACTCTGGTATGTAAAAAGTAGGTACTACACCCATAGGCATTAAGTCGACACTGACCCAGTCCAACGCTTCCAGATCCTAGAGGTCACACAGTGAGGCAGGCGCTGAGCTGGGGTTGGGAACTGGAGCCCTAGTCCAGCATCTTTGCAGGTATCAGTTGAGGCTGTCTGAATCTGGTTTGATTAACCTGGCCTGGATGGAGGCTGTGTCTGGAGTGGAACAAGGCTCCAAGCTGGTCCTAATGGTTGCCTCAGATCAGCCTGGCTCTCAGAGGAGGTGTCTGAAGAGCCAGCAGCCCTCTGGGGAAGGGGTGCTCCCAAGAAGGGGCAAAGAGGGGCAGTGGCCCCAGGCACTGAAGCTCATGTCTGTCTTTTCTCTCCGTGCTGCCATGGGCCTGGGTCATTTCAGACGAGCCTCAGGTAAGATGGGTGGGGTTCCCTAGGCCCTGCCCTGTGGGTCAAGGGGAGAGGTGGGGAGGTGGGAAGGAAAGGAGCCTGTGGACACCTCTCCCCTGCCTGACACTCCCCCCCCCCCCCCCCCGCAGCTCTACACCCTCGCCGTGATAGGCCCAGGGCCTCCAGACCGCCAGCCGGCCCAGATCTCCCGCCGCTACTCAGACTTTGAGCAGCTGCACCGGAGCCTGCAGCGCCAGTTCCGGGGCCCCATGGCTGCCATCTCCTTCCCTCGGAAGCGCCTGCGCCGGAACTTCACCGCAGAGACCATTGCCCGTCGCAGCCGGGCTTTCGAGCAATTTCTGGGCCACCTGCAGGCCGTGCCCGAGCTGCGCCATGCCCCGGACCTGCAGGACTTCTTCGTGCTGCCCGAGCTGCGGCGGGCACAGAGCCTCACTTGCACTGGCCTCTATCGTGAGGCCCTGGCATTGTGGGCCAATGCGTGGCAGCTACAGACCCAGCTGGGCACGCTCTCGGGCCCAGACCGCCCCCTGCTGACCCTGGCTGGGCTGGCTGTGTGTCACCAGGAGCTAGAGGACCCCGGGGAGGCCAGGGCCTGCTGCGAGAGGGCCTTACAGCTGCTGGGGGTCAAGAGCCCTCACCCTTTGCTGGCACCCTTCCTGGAGGCCCATGTCCGGCTCTCCTGGCGCCTGGGCTTGGACAAACGTCAGTCAGAGGCCCGGCTTCAGGCCCTACAGGAGGCAGGCCTTACCCCGACACCACCCCCTAGCCTCAAAGAGCTGCTCATCAAGGAGGTGCTGGACTGAACCTTGCCTAGGTCACTGTGGGGGCTGCTGCCCCAAGGTGGGGGCCTGATGAGGACATAAGCTATAGCTGGGAAGCTGCAGGGGGTGCTGGAAGCCCCTGAAAGGTCCACAAAGAGACTCTGCAGCAGAGCGAGGAACTTGGCCTCTTCTGTCCCGCTGGGCTCAGGACAAACTTTGGCTGGAGTGGCCCCGGAATGGTACAGGGAAGGCTGATGCAGCCTCGCCAGGTTATGAACAGCTGGGGGTTGTGCCTACGATGGGATCAATATTCCCTTTTCCAAGGACCTCCAAGCAAGTGAGGCCAGGGACTCGGACCTTGGACCCCTGGAGCTGAAGGTGGAGGGAGGGTTGCTTCCCAGCCCAGGGAGATTAAAGGCCAGCCACTCCAGTGGAACCAGTCTCTTTATTGGATGTGTGCATCGGAAGGCTCAACCTTCTACTGTAACTCTTGCTTCAGGAGTAAGAGTGGAAGCGAAGTCCTTGAGGCCCCAGGCCAAGCTGGTACCTCTGGCTAGAGCTTGCTCTTTGAGTCATGGGACTTCACTCGGATCACACCCTCCTGGGCACAGGACACAGCCAGGACTCCATCCCGCCGCCACAGCCGCCCGTGGACCAGTCCCCGGGAGCCACCTGTGGGAGAGGGGAAGGATGAGAATGGCCTTCTCTCAGCTAAGCACAGCCAAGCCCACTTCTGGGAAACAATTGAGCCCAGGGCAGGGGCCACCCCATGCCAACGCACCAATACTGTGCCAGTGGCTCCACGTCCCTCTCTGAGCCTATAAGGGGCAGTCACTGGGGGGTGACGCTCCCGTGGGACCCCTACCTGACAGTCTACAAGCACTCGCACTTAGCTTTTTCAGAAAGTCTGCAGAGGGAGGGGCCTGGAGAACAAACTCTCAGTGGCTTGGCCAAGCGGATCCACCTCTGATTACTTGTGTTAGGAAACCCATCAGTTGCCTCTGTAACATCAAACTAGGTCCTCCAGGCTAGTAATTTGTGAAAGCCCCACCACCAAGTGGAAGAAGAGGCCCAGTGCAGGGACCTGTCCCCTTTGCTGGCCTTGGGCCTGAGTTCAATGTTTATGAAGAGAACCACTGGGCCCCCTCACACATAGCTTAGGTCACTTAGTTCTCGCCATAGTTGCCCAGACTGACACCAAAGTCTCTGGGGCGTGGGAGGTGAGCCCTGAGGACGAGGGCCTGAACCCAAGTGTCCCGTCTCAGTTGTCAATCTGTATTTTGATACTTCTATACCTGAGAACAGCCCTTTCCTTCCTGAGTGTAAGGAGTGCCTTGAACTTTGTCCCTGTTTTACAAAAACAAGGCTTTTCCTCGTTTGAAGTGGACTTTCTTAGAAAGGAACCCACATTCTGAGACTAGACACCGATGGATGAATCTGGGTTTTCTCTCCCTCCCGTAAGAGGACTGTCCACGTAGTGGAGCCTGAGGAACCTGGGAGTCCCTGACCCCCAACCAGCTTAGTCAGCAGAATCAGGAAGATTAGAAGCAGATTTAGGGAGCTTTTTGAAAAATGCCATTTTCTGAGCCTTACCCAAGACCTACTAAGTCAGAGCCGAGGGGGTGGAATCTGAGGATGTTTTGAGAAAGCTGCCCTGAGTGACAGTCTGATGAGCCACCACCGCTCTAATACAACCCATATTTGCTCAGATGGGGAAACTGAGGCTCAGAGAGGTGACAGGAGTCGCCCCAGATCATACAGAGAACCTGGAGTGACTCTGGGACTAGACTGGGTCTCTATGAATCATATTCCTTTGACCTTCCCAGCATGTTAAAGCCAGTTAGAGCTGCACAGGTGTCCCATCCTCAAGCCTCACCCTGTCATTTGAAGGATGCCAAGGCTGGAACAGGGCAGGAGAGGTGGTGACCCATGCAGTGCCCCACAGGAAGGGGGGGCAGCATCACCTGAGAAACTCGGCTCCCTACCACCCCAGGATCAGTGCCCTTGCCCCCCGTGGTCCCACACTCACCAGCCCAGGGGCTCTCACACTCGTAGAGCATCCAGTGGTCTGCTCGGAAGGGAGAGTGGAACCACATGGAGTGGTCCAAGGAGACCATGAAGCGCACCCTATACTGCCACTCATGGGGCAGCAGAGCCGTGCCCAGGAAGGCGTAGTCCGAGATGTAGGCAGCCACACAGCAGTGCATCTTGATGTCGCCCTCCCCTGCAACATGTCCCACCCCCATCAGCCCTGGGGTCCTGGGCATGTCGGCTCAGGACCTACAGGGCACGGGGAGAAAGGGGCTGCCGTGCACAGACGTGTACACTTCACTGCACCAGGGCACCTGGCCCAAGGTGTGTGTGCGATGGGGTAAGAGGGGAGATGAGCAAGGACAGAAATGCAGCCTTCACTCACCGGTCTCCCACCTGGGCCCCAGAAGGGGGGCCTCTTTCTAGTTTGCACAGAGGTACCTTATGTTTAATAGCAGACCTGGAGAAGAATCTCAGCGAGGCGCCCAGCCTCCCCGAGAAATGGCCTCTGCTGGGCCTGTACTCACCTCCCAACTCCTGCCATGAGACAGCCCTGGTAAGAAACTGGGCCAGCCTCCCATCACACAGATCAGGAAATGGTCCCAGAGAGGGGAAGTGTTTCCCTCCAGTCCATGGGGGGCTCTTACCAATATAGCCTCTGGCTCGCACCCAGAACATCTGTTTGGGCTCCAGGCGCTGCAGTTGGTTCAGGGCGGGTGGGTTCACGACCTTGATCTCAATGGGCACGTCCTGGGCAGCAATTCGGTTCAGCCCCACTCGGTACTTCTTATGGAGGTTAGGGTCCCTGAAAGTGAAGGGGATGGGCTGGGGGAGACACAAGGAGAGGGGAGCCTCTCATCTGAGCTGCCTCTTCTGGCCCCTCCTTCTTCTATAGGACTCCTGACTTGTCCCCAGAGCTCCCCTACGCCTGTGGCAGACACAACAGTAGAGCTTTGGAAGCCCTTCTTTGCCCCCCATGAGCCACACGGCCTTGTGCAAGTTAGGGATCTCTTGAGTCTCTTTTCCCATCCGCACAATGTAGATCATCGTGGCAACCTATCGTGTAACCAGCATCATGGCACAGACAGTCATCATGGTAAGACACACCCTTGAGAGGCATTCTGAGCATTCCGCATTAACTCTTTCCTCCCAGCAGCCCTGTGAGATAGGCACTGGCCTCACTCCCATAACTGAATTAAGCACCGAGAAGCCACGCAGCTGCTCTGAAAGTGGCGAGGGCAGCACGTGGACCAGGCAGCCTGGTCCCACAGCTCCTACTCTTAACACTTCTACACATTCAGGAATCAGGCCGCCTAGCTTAGACCTAATGCTAAGCAGTTGGGAACACTGTCTCCCCCAAACAGAGGGGCCCATTTCCAAGGAAGCCCCTTCACCATAGTAACTACCACCCCTGCTGCTCCTGGGGGTGCAGCCATTTTCATCCCTATCCTCATGAGTGCTGTCCGGTAGAACCTTCTGTGGTGATGAAATGAGGGAATGTTCTATATCTGCACAGGCCACCATGGTAGCCATTAGCCCACGTGGCTCCTGAGCTCTCAGAATGTGGCTAGTACAACCGAGAAACTGATTTTTTTAATTGGTTTATTTTCAATTAATTTCGTATGGCCACATGTAGTTACCTTACTGGACAGCACAGCTCCAGAGTCAGGGCCCCTTAAGAACAATCATTTCATTTCCACAAACAATAAGCCCTTGTTTGTTCCTCTCTGTCAGTAGTGGTATAACTATAATTTACTGAGTACCTACTAAGTGCCTTATCTCTCTTACTTAATCTTCACAGCAGCTTTGTGAGACAAGAATTACTATTAGCACCATTTTACAACTGAGGACACAGGTTCAGAGAGGGCAAGCAAGTTGCCTAAACTCACACAGCAAGCAGGGAGAGTTGCAGATTTGAATGCAGGCCTTTTGGATTCCCGAACCCACATCCATCCCACCCACACTTCTGTCTCCCTAGAATCGACAGAGGAGCTGTCTTCATGAACAGCTCTGAAGCGGGCAGGGTAGAAGTGACCACTCCCACTTTTTAGAAGCAGAAACTAAGGCCAGGGAGGCGGGGGGAGCTGGGCAAATCCACAGCGGGTGAGCCAGATGTGTTCTGAGTCTGAACCCACAGCGCCTTCTCCCACATCTGCACTTTTCAGACTTTATTGGCCATGATCCAAGTAAGAAATACATTTACCAGGTGATGTCGGGATTATTTAACACCCAGTAAGGCAAAGGCAAAGGAGCTCTGGTGGCACAGTGCCCAAGGCACTTGACTGCTAACCAGAAGGTTGCTGGTTCAAACCCACCAGCCACCCCTTAGGAGAAAGACTGGGCAGTCTACTTCTATAAATAAAGATGTACTGCCTCAGAAACCCTCACTGCAAGTTGGAATTGACTTGATGGCAGTGACTTTTTTTTTTGGTTCAAAGCAAAGGCAAGGATCCCTGGTGATGCAGTGGTTAAAGTGCTCGACTGCGAACAAAAAGCCACCAGCCATTCTGTGGGAGAAAGATGTGGCAGTCTGCTTCCATAAAGATTACCACCTTGGAAACCCTGTGGGGTAGTTCTACTCTGACCTGCAGGGTGGCTATGAGTTGGAATCACTTGGAATGGATTTTGGTGTGGATGGCAAAGGCAGTGATCACTCAGAGCAAGTCTGGGCCACAGCTCTGCAGCAGGGTCCCAGGAGACCCCTACCGGTGCCAGGCGTTAACTCCTAAGCTGCTGCATCATGGATGACTGAGAAAGGAGAGAGGATTACTCAACGGCCTGGGGAGGGGACTATTTACCAAGCTGTCACAGAAATATTTCAAACATGTTAACAAGCATGAAGGCTGTAACAGTGCCTACACTGGCTGTATAGAAGCACCACATTTTACATCTCGACCTAATACACACACACCCGTGAAATAGACACAACTGAAATGAAAGTGTCACAAAGGATTCTTACTCCAATATCTTCTTTTCTATTTCTAACTTCTAAAAATGCTGGGCAAGACCCACAAAAGGATCTTGTGACTCGCTAACAGGTAAGAACCACCGCTGAAAAGCACTGCCTGGCGCCTCTGGGCCTCTCACCTTAAGTACTGTTCAATGAGGGCCTCGTAGTCAGGCAGCTCCTCCGGCGGGGGCACGGCAGGCATGGAGAACTGGTGCTGCAAGGGGCTGAGCTGAATCTGCTGGAAAGAGGCCTGGCAGATGAAGATGGGCTTGCCGTGTTGCACCGCCTTCACGGAGCGCACCGAGAAGCTCGCCCCTGTCCGCGTCCGCTCCACCTGGTACAGCACTGGCACCTTTGGGTCCCCTGCAGTGGACACAGTAAGCCCTACATCCACTGTCATCGGCACAAAGGTCAGATGGGCACCTCTGCCACTCATCCTCTGTTCTTTTCTCTGTTTGGTAGCAACTGACTAAGCCCAGGTACTGAGGATACAGAGAGCACACCAGGCCCTACCATCAATGCTCGTGGGGCAGGTGGAATACCTGGACGTGGCCAGATTTCCTGCATTCAAACCCTCACTCTGCCACTCACCAGCTGTGTGACCTTGGGAAAGTCACTTAACCTCTCTGAGTAGTTCATTCATACATAAAATGGGATCTTCATAGTGCTCAGATCTCAGGACTTTTATGAAAATTAAATGAGCTTCTTCTAGTTGTAAAGTGTTTAGAATAATATCTGGCACATAGTAAGTGCTCAATAAATGTTTGTTAAATAAAATAAATACTCTTCAGCTTTCATCTTGTTCTGTCTGTGACTGGGATCATGTCATGAGTCCAGAACCATTTCTTTAGGTCAGGGTCAGAAAATTATGGACCTGGCCTGTGGGCCAAATCCAGCCTGCTACTTGCTTTGGTAAAAGAAGTTTCTTTGGAATGTAGCTGCAATCATTCATTTGCATATTGTCTATAGTTGTTTTTGCGAGCTACACAGCAGAGTAGTCGCAAAAGAGACCCACAAAGCCTTAAATATTTACTGTCTGGTCCTTTATAGAGAAAAAAGGTCACGAACTCCAAACTGCTCTAAACCTGCAGCATACTACATGACTGGACTACATTCTGTTACCGCCCTGAAAAAATACTTTTAACAGTCGGCCCTGGGCTTTTACAATTGATCATGCAAATGACAAAAGACTACCCTCCCCAGTATTGTTTATGTAAAATATATATATATATATATATATATTTTTTTTTTTTTTTACATGAACAATACTGTATATATGTACATGGGTACATACACACACACACACACACACACAATTTGAAACATCCTCAGTGGCTGTATTTAAGGTATGTGGTAGCAGGTCACATCACAGACTGATGAGAGCCTGCCTCCCTTTTGCCTTCGCTGCCACAGAGCTAAGAATTAAATTTTGTGAGCAACTGCAACAATATGTCCAAGCCCAGTTTTCTGGTAAAATCATTCCCCCAAAACACCTCTCCCCTTACTACTCTCTGGCTGTCCTTTGGCCTTTCATTTGATAGTCCTTTGATAGCTGTCAATTACCTTAAGGTGTCTTGCAGCCTTTCCAAGAAGAAGTAGGGAACAAATTATTAGTGATTAATTATAAAATGACTGGTGATTAATTTTGGAATGGTAGCAAGGAGAAGGAGCCTTCTCCTGGAACCTGGGACGGGCACCCTGACAGCTGTCACCTGGTCTGGAATTAGCTGCACGAGTGAAAGAGAAAGGTGCAGATGCAGAAAACTGTAGAGGTGGAGGCACAGGAACCCAGGTTCAAGATCGCGGCTCTACCTCCCTGAAAAGCCGCGGGAGCTGGTTACAAACCTCTTCCGGTCCCCGTTTCCTTGTACACAGAGTGGTAGCAGGAATGGTCACCCTCATGTTTGCTTAGGAGGATGAAGCAAGATAATGTATCTGGCTGGCTTTGTGCTTTGCAAAAATTAATTTTAAGTTCATCATCATAAAAAAGAGACTGTCGTCATTTATGTAAAACATGCACCACGCCAGGCACTGCCCTAGAGGCTTTCACTGCAAAGACGTGTAATTCTTTCATCACAGGATTGAGAAACAGATTCAGAGGATCAAGTAAGGCCACACCTTGCTAAGACAAGACAAAACAGCCAATTCTCTCACTAAGCTAGGAGGACTGCAACATCCAAAGGCCAGCGTCTTTGAATTTTCTAGCCAGACTGAAGAAATACAGCACACATTGGCTCCCCACTAGCACAAAGGTAAGCACTGGGCTGCCAAGGACCCAAATACTCAGGGAGCACAGGCAATAAAAGGACAGGGAGTGGAGGGCGTGGTAATACAGTGTGAAAAAAATAGATTATTATATTTTTTTATTTGTAAAATGAAAGAAAAACCTCACTGTTGTTTACTAAATACAAATCACAAAATAGAAAGTCAGACAAAATCTTCCCAGCTGGTTTGACTCTGAACAAATGACTCTAAAATTGGGCGCAACAGGGAGGAGAGGAAAGTGAGTGAGATTTTTACGTTTCTCCCAAGAGAGCACAGGTTTCAGAAGATTGGCTTCTTGACCTGATCTCCAAGCTATAAACAACTATAGAGATCGCCCCACTATAAGCCTCCAGGTCCCCAGGCAGCTCCAGTCAGGCTGCCGTACCCCCAAACCTCTAGCAGAGGTTACAGCAGATCTCAGGACCTAGCACGGTGCTTGCACCAGCAGACGGCAACTAAGCAACAAGTGTTGTGTCATTAGGGGGCCAGAGAACAAGTTAACAGTGAGTGTTAACAAGTATGAAGGCCAAGGCTAACTGCTGGCCCCAGGTCTTGCTCCTCTCTTAGCTGCCCTGAGCCTGGAATTCTGTCTCCATTCTTCTCTCCCCAACCCCCTTCCATTTTCTCCTTGGCCAGCCACCCCCTTCTTCTCTCACCGTCTCCTCAGTCATCCCTCCAAGGCCAGGAGGAAATGGATACTGGGCCCCCAGGACTGGGTGGGAGAAAAGAGGGGTGGTTTACCTGCCCGGACAAAGTAACAGTGCAGGGAGTGCACGTGGACGTCTTCGCTCACAGACTTGGCTGCAGCCACCAGGGCCTGACCCACTATCTGACCCCCAAACAGCCGCTGGGTGGTGGGTACCCAGTAATGCCTTCCTCTGTGGGAAGAGAGAGAAAACTGGAGCGATATGGGTGCAGGGCTGAATCCTACAGCTCTCACAGAGCCTCAAGTGCAGGATCTGGGTTCTGAGATCCTTTTGAGAAGTTAGGGAAAAGCCATGGGCCTTTTCCAGGCAAATATCCTTACACATCACTCTGCAACTCTGTGGCCTTCACAGCCATGCAAAGCCCTTCTATGGATTCAGTTAAGGATAACGATCCAACTCGCTTACACTAAGAGAATGGGGACCAGAGAGGGTAAGTGACTTGAGAAAGATCACACAGCTTAAACAAATCCTGGACAGTACCAGGGTCTTTTAACTCCAAGTCCAGTGTTTCTTCCACTCCCCATACCAAGGTAAGACAGAAGCCTTTCAGGGCCTTGGGTGGACCAAGACAAACCCCAAGAGCTGAGCTGGGGTGGACTGCATTAAGGCTTGCCCCCTCATAGCCCTCCACCACAAAAGCCCAATTCTTCCTAGAACCAGATTCAGAGCTGGAAGTGTACAGATAAGGAAACTGGGACCCCAGAAGTGAAGAAACTTACCTGGCATGTGAGCCAAGTGGAGGCTGAAGTACCTAGGTCTCCAGCCTCCACTGCCCTGCCCCAGTTTAGCATTTTCCATAGCAATGTGTTGCAAATAACCCTCCAGTAGTTATTTGCCAGTCGTTAGGTACTGGGGAGGAACCCTGGAGGCCTCAGTGGTTAAAGTGCTGGCAAAAGATTGGTGGTGCAAGCTGCTAAAGGGGAGAAAAATGTGGCGGTTTGTGTCCCTTAAAGATTTACAGCTTTGGAAACCCTGTGGAGCAGTTATACTCTGTCCGGTAGGGTCCCTGAGTCAGAATCCACTCCTGGGCAGTGGGTTTGGGTATTTTGGTAAGTGCAGGAAAGGGAGATTAAAGCCAAAGGTCGCTTCCAACAAAGCCAGGAGGACATTTGGAAGCCAAAGCAATTATATTCCCAGCTGCAGTCAAGAGCTTAAGTGACGCTGGGAAGCAAAGAGGCAACGGCTCAGACCTCAGGATGAACAAGGCGCTACAAGGCGCTACCAGATCCCACCAAGTAGTGGGGAAGGGGCAGTAGGAGGGAAACAAAACAAAACAAACTCACTGCCATCGAATCGATTCCGACTCCTAGCGACCCCTAGGAGTTTCGGAGGCGGTAAATCTTTACGGAAGTAGATTGCCCCAGTCTTCCTTCCATGGAGCGGCTGGTGGGTCTGAACCACCAACCTTCTGGTTAGCAGTCAACTGCCTTTGGCACTGCGCCACCAGAGCTCCTTAATAAGAGGAAAAGAATAGTAAAAATGGAAGCAGCTGCGAATCTAGAGACAAGTTTTAAACCTGACCAGCTGTGTGCCCTTGGGCAAACCACCGTCCTCTCTGGGCTGGCTCTCTTAGCAACACGACCTCTAAGGGCAGACTGCCGTATTTCAGGTCAGCACTTTAATCTGCCCAGATCTCAAGGACCTCTTAGGGATGGCGCTGCGCAGTCCCGGATCGGAGTGGGAGGGAGGTTGCCGGGGCGGTGACGACAGCTCTGTGAGGGACAAGCCCTCTCTCGATCGCGGCAGAGCCTGCATCCCGCTCAAAGCCCATCCCTGTTCCGGAGCTGAGCCACTGGGTGGCGGCAGTCGAGATCAGGTGCCTCTGTCCCAATGGGGCGCGCGGCCGGCTACCTGAAGAGATCCTCGTCTAGTGGCTCAAGGTTGAGCACGCTGGTGACCAGGACGCTGCGGAGGTCCCCGGGGGAATCACCGCCGCCCTTCCTGTCCTCCTGGGCCCGCGGGGACGACATCCTGCCCACTGGCTGCCGGTACTAGACACCGCGCTAGGCCGGGCATGCGGAAATCTAGCCAGAACCCGCAGCTTCCGGCAAATTACCCTAGTAACCGGAAGTCCCTTGCGGAACCGTGAGAAGGCGGAGTTCCGCCTATAATTGGTTGGTGTTCCTGTCAGTCTTCTGGTGGGTGTGGCAAAATTTCTGTAACGATTGAAGGAAATCAGTGCCAGTCTGGTCGTCCGGTGTGTGATTGGATGTGATAGTGAGAGGGCGGAACATCGGTACTGGATAATAAGGGCTGAGTGTCACTTTCCCTCTGTCAGACAGCAGAGACGCCCCTCGCCCCTCTTAACTCTTTCAGGCTTTGGGCTCCTCCTGAGCTCCATTTCATAAAGGGCCATTCAGGTGGGACCAACCTCTACGGTCCTGGGCCGAGGCCAGCCTGTAGACCCCTACAGTGACCTCTCACCCCCAGTGTGATCTTAGGCCCACGCCTAGACCAACCCCTCGCGTGGGCTGAGGGGGCGGCCATGGAGCTGGGCAGCTGCTTTGAGACCTACGAGGACTTCAAGGAATGCTTCAGCGCCTACAAAAAAGAGAACAGGTGCTCCTTCATTCCCAGAGACTGCATCTCCGTCCGCTTCCACAACCTCAACCAGGGCACCTCCATCCGTGAGGACATCCTGTAAGGGCGGGGCGGGGCGGGGCGGGGCAGGAGCATGGGGAGGAGGGAGGCCTGGGGGAGGAGGGAATGCTGTCGGGCCCTTGTTCTCACTTCCCCAGCCGTTCATTCAGCAGGCACTTATTGAGCACCTGCTGTGTGCCTTTTGAAAACAGCAGAACCTCCACAGGCATTGCTTTTTGACCACCCACTTCACCGTCACTCATTCATCCCTTTATTCAACGAGCTTTTTCTGGAATTCATAAGAACAACAATTCGTCCCATTTTTGGAACACCTGCAGTATTCCAGACACACAGTATGGCCCTCACAGATGGGTAGAAAACACTTTAGGTTCTGTTCTTTACAAAGCAGTAACAAGTCAATTGGTGATTGTTTCATTCATTCATTCTGTCTATGGTTCTTGAGCTCCTGATATTAACAACCATTTTTATAAACCCTTTCCTGTCCGAGGCAGCGTTTCCTCCTCTGGGCATGCTTTATCCTTCAGGGCTACACTGAAGATTAAATGTCATTTTTCTCATTTAACAGATAAGAAATCAGGCGTAAAGAACTTAAGACAGGAATTGAAAACTCAAATGTCTTCAGGGTTCAGTTGAAACAACCTAGTGTAAGAAAGTGTAACATACTTTTCTGTTGTACTGTAAGAATAAGAATGATGAAATAACACCACAAGGTCTCCATGCTAGGAACAACAGAGAGAAGTGTGAACTGGAACAAATTGGAGAGCAGGTCCCATCTAATCAACTCCAGCTGATTACTGCCACGTGAAAAATGAAGATCCATTGTTGTCAGAATTTTGGGCAAGGGGAATCAGAAACCCAGACTTCGATGTGAATTTGTCCACTTATAAAAAATTAGTAGCCAATTCAAATTTTAATACACACCATAAAGGCCAACTCAGACTCAAAAAGGTATATGTGAAGGCCATCAGTTTGAGACCTCTGGATTGAGATGTTGGCCAGAGCTCCCCAGTGAGGAAGCCAGGCTGTGTTCTTTCCACTACTCAGAAGTCTAGTGTTGTGTTGGGTACAGATGACATAAAGATGGTTAAAAAATCCAACCTACCCTCAAAGAGCTTAAGGTAGAATAGATTTGCACTCAGATAAGCTACCTGTTGTTGTTATGTGCCATCGAGTCGGCCTGACTCATAGCGACCCCTCTGGGTTTCTGAGGCAGTATCACTACAGAAGTAGGTTGTCCAACCTTCCTTCTGAGGAGTTGCTGGTAGGTTTGAACCACCAGCCTTCTGGGTTAGCAGTCAAGTGCCTTAGGCACTACGCTACCAGAACTCCCAAGCTACTTAGTAAGTGCTAATACTTTACAAGAGACATGTGCAGAAGAGGAAGTGACATACCTGGGAGGTAGGAAAAAGCTTCATTCTGGACGTAATGGTTTCTCTGGGCAGCGGATACATACAGAAGGCTGGAGCAGGAGTCTCAAGGTCCCTGGGTGGGGCAAAAGTTTTGATCTCAACTACTAACCCAAAGGTTGGTGGTTCGAACCCACCTGGTAGCACTGCAGAGGAAAGGCCTGGCAATCTGCCTCTGTAAAGATGACAGCAAAGAAAACCTTATGGGGAAGTTCTACTGTGTAACACCTGAGGTCACCACGAGTTGGAATTGACTCACAGGCAATGTTTTTTTTTTTTGGTGTTGTTAGAGTAGGGATTCAATGGTTAATGATTGAGTAACATCGAGGAGTTTGCCTGGAGGAGGGAGGCTCTGTGAGAGCAAAGACACAGATAAGTGTAAGAAGGTGACATGGTTGAGAAACTGTGGGGTACCGTGATTGGTAAGAATTGAGATCAGTTGCAATCTTCTTAAGAGTCAGTGTCCTGTTGAGAGGTGTGTGGCCTTTATTCTGTGTGAAACATTGTGCTAAACAGTGAGAAGATTGCAAAAACACCCTGCTCTCAGCTGCTTACTGTCTGGATAAAGTGAGTAGCTTCCCGTGGTCCACAGGATGGCATCAGGATCATCCAGCTGGCCCGCCAGGTCTGCTGCCCTTCTGACCTCTCCACCTTGCACTGTCTGCTCCATCCACTTAGGACCTCCTCTACAGTCAGCTCCTGCCCTAAACCCACAGCTTCCTGGTCCTTGCACTGTGTGTCCTCTGGCTAGAATTATCTTGCCCATCGACCCACTCAGCTTAGCTCCCTTCTCATATGTCATTTGTTTTGTGTGCTGTCAGCTCTTGCCATGTCCTATACTGCAAGTTACTTAACATTTTTCTTTACACTCAGTTTTAATATTCAAGGAAACCTGTTTTAAACTCAGCCTAGGCAATAATATATATGAAGTACAGTAAGGGGGGGTGTTCTGGAATCAGACTGGCTGATTCCATGTAAAATGCAGAACATGTGAAATGAATGCTGTGTATGTACAATGAATTATTAAAATATCTATTCTTATGCAATCTGAGGTCAATTTGGATCCCTTGTGGGAAACTGTCTTAGCTTGTTGTTCATTTTTCTTCAGTTCTCAGCATTTCTTCCAGGAAGCCTTCCTTAACTTCCCCAAAATGAGGTTTGATGCTCCTCCAGGGTTCCAACAGCACCTGTTACACCTCTTCGCGTATTGCTCTGCGATACAGTTTCCAGAGGTTCTCTCATTGGCTGAGCTCTTCCAGGGAGGGTCCCTGGTTCACCATTGTATTCCCGGGGTCTAGTACATTTTGTCTAGGAGCTCTGGTAGCATAGTGCTCAAGGCACTTGACTGTTAACCAGAAGGCTGGTGGTTCAAACCCATCAGCCACTCCTCGGAAGGAAGATGGGGAAATTTACTTCCGTAGTGATATCGCCTCAAAAACCCAAGGAGGGGTCACTAGGAGTTGGGTCCAACTCAAGGTTACATCACAACAACTACAGTACATTTTGTATAGCATGCTGTATCTAGTACAGTGTTTGGCCCATAGCAGGTGTTTAGCCTTGTTTCTTGAAAGAATGAATCATCAGGCAATAAATATGACATTCAAGACACTAGGTGCTGCAGGAACTTGAAAGAGAGTAGTCACTGTGGGCTGTAGAAGAGAAAGGGAGGCTTGAGCTGGGCTCCCGGAGATGGAGATGGTGGGGTTTTTTTTGTTTTTGTTTTTGCTGCTGTGACAAATTACACAAACTAATGGCTTTTAACAACACAACTTTAGGTTGATTCTATAAGTTGGAAGTCAGACATGGGCCTCTCTGGGCTAAAATCAAAGTGTCAAGGAGCATTGATTTCCTTCCCTCTCCCATTCTAGGGACTGCCGGCACTCCTTGGCTTGCAGTCCCCGGCCTCCATCTCCAGAGCCACCAGTGACAGGTGGCGCGCTCCTCACATCGTATCCCTGTGACCTCCTGTCCTCACGTCCCCTGCTCTGACTCCCCTTCACCCTGTCGAAGGACCCTTGTGAGGAGACCTGTTCAGCCAGGAGGAAGGTTTATGCTGGAGAGTCGTGGGAAGGAAAACGGGCCCGAATAAATAGACTGGAGGCTTGCAGTTAGTTTTTTAAAAATGGTCTTTGGAGGCTGAACAGTTTTTAAAATGAGTTTGTTTTCGTTATACTTAATATAGTCATTTGTTGTTGGTGGCACATAAGGACTACAAATACAGTCAATTAAAGAAGAAAAATTCAAATAGTACAAGAGGATGTACTATTGGGCATTATCTAGAGGCCACCACTGTTAGCTTCCTGAGATGTCTGTGCCTGAACAAGCATGGCTTGTATGTGTATACATTTCTTTGTTTTTAACACAAATAGCATATTAGCACCACACATCATTCTGCACCTTGGCTGTCTCACCTGTCAGTGTTTCTTGGCGATTATTCCACATCACTTCTTCCACTTGTGTGCGGAGATCATCCTTACGGAGAGTTCTGTGGTATAGTCCCTTGCTCTCAGCTTTTGTTTACTGGAAGCTGACTGCACGCTAGAGTCTGAAGAGACGGTGTTGAAAGTGATAAATTGGGTCCCTGCCCTCATGGAGCTTACCCTCTAGTCAGGGGAACAGGTATTCATCTAAAATCACAGAAATAATTATCTACTTAAAATTGTGGTAGGATAATCCTAATAAAAAAAAAAAAAAAATGTGGTAGGGCTGCAAAGGAAAATTCCAGGCTGCTGGGTCGTGGAATGACTAGGAAACTTAACCTGGTTGAGTGGCCAGGGGCTGGTGGTGGTGGTGGAGGAGGAAGAGGGTGCTGGTTGACACTTAATACGGGTTCAGGCTCTTGATTAGAATCGTGACGTCTTCATTATCTGACTTGTCACTCTGAGTCACCCACAAGGCAGATTGTGTTACTCCCGGTGAGTTAATCCATGTGGAATGCCTACAAGAGTGCCCACTGTCGTTAGGGGCCATGGAGTTGGTTCCAACTCGCAGTGACCCTGTGTACCACAGAGTGAAACCCTGCCTAGTCCTGTGCGTTTCTCACAGCCCTTGCTGTGCTTGAGCCCATCGTCGCAGCCACTGTGTCAGCTCATCTCGCTGAGGGTCTTCTCTATTTTTGCTGACCCTCAGCTTACCCAGCATGAGATCCTTTTCCAGGGACTGGTCCCTTCTGATAGCCATCCTCGCTTTTAAGGAGCCTTCCAGCTGTACTTCGTCCAAGACAGAATTGTCCATTCTTCCAGCAGTCTATGGTACATACAGTAGTCTTCTCCAACACCACAATTCAAATGCATCAATTCTTTGGTCTTCTTTATTCACTGTCTAGCTCTCATAATAGCGCCTAGTACATAGAAAATGTTCCACAAATACTGTTCGTTCTCACTGCCGTCGAGTCAGATACAACTCATAGTGACCCCTCCTTGGGTGTCTGAGGTGGTATTACTATGGAAGTAGATTGCCCAATCTTCCTTCCAAGGAGTGGCTGGGGGGTTTGAACCACTAATGCCTTAGGTACTATGCCACCTAGCTGCTATTATTACATAATTATTCATGAGATCTGGTGGTGCATTGGTTAAAGCATTTGGCTGTGAACCAGAAGGTTGATGTTTGGAACCTACTAGCCACTCTGCAGGA